ATGCTGCAGCATCACAATTGAACATCTAAGCGGCACGTTGGCAGACGGTTAGGAAAGAAGGCTGTGACGCACGCGGCCGCTCTCTGCTCCTGTTGCTTTTGGAAGAGAGAGACAGAGCGCGGCTTGGAGAAGCATTAAAAACAAGATTAAGGAGGGAGTTAACCGTATTTTTGTCCATGTAGGTCCCGTGTTAGCTGGACCAGCCCGACGTGTGCAGAAATAAATAAATAAGAAGGGTCACCACGGAGCGGCTTCCATGCGCACAACGCATCATCTCCACCCATCTCGGTACACCTCGTCACATTTGCACCAACGCCGCTTTTGAAAAATGACCCAAATCTCTTAATGCAGCAGGAGAGAGGAAAATGAGACGCGCAAATGCGAAGTAAGGGACTTGAATCCAGATTGGAGACGGGACGACAACGTTCTGCTGGTGGCAGGTTTGTTTCATTGTATTAGCGTGAATTAGATTAAAACTGCCCGATCAGATAGAATCCAGTTAACCTCAACGGGTTGAGCATACTTTGCTGCACGCACCACTCACTCAGGGAGAAATACCAGTAAAGGTCTCTGATTTGATGAGAGCCCATAAAGAGATACCTTGTCTCCATTAAACAACCAAGAACACCACACGGCGGTGAAATCCAGGCCGCTTTCACGCGCCGGGTGAGGATGGAGAGCTCTGAATCCTACTGAACCCCCCCCCGCTTGTATCGACCCACATTTGGGCTCCACTGTGTTTACGGACTGGTATATGTGGCTCCTCCAGCATGTTAGTCCAAAGAGTCAGTAATGTAATGCACATCATTATTTATAGCCCAGAGAAGTGTTGGGATGAAAAAATGGCAAATATGGAACTCCACACAATTCCGTGAGCTTCTCACAGGCTCCTTACAGACAGAAATACATGAAATACTGACGACAATTATTCAGTTTCTTGTGAACGAACCGTGGGGAGACTTTTTGTTGGAGATTGTTTGGACCAATGAGTCATCATAAAGACAGGAACCGTTCCTATAAACCCATGAAGGGCTGCAGTGAAGCTGGTAATTGGCCAACCGTATATGGTGTCAGCGTGTGCGGCGGGTCCCTGGTGTAAATGTGAGAAAAACAACAAGAGAACACTGCGGTAAATCTTAAAACAGTGCGCCCAGCTAACACGAAAGGAAGGATAAGGAAAGAGGTGTTCGGTGCCCACAAAACTAAATGGATTCCAGCTCCCATTTTACAGCTTCTAAACCACAAATGCTTTACAAAAATCAGGTAGGTAGTTTCACCGCTCATAAATACCCAGTGAGCAGGAAACGTGATTGTGGCCCAGTTTAAATGGAATTGTGGTACCAAGCTGAAAAAGTTGGACCTCTCTCCAATGTGTTTAAAATGTTTATTTTGAAAGCCCTCGAGGTTGGCGAGTCTATAAGCAAACTTTCGGCTCTCACGTGAGCGCTGAAATTGCCCAACTGACGGGGAGAGAAATGAGAAGAAAAACGCCCTCGTGTCAGGGCGAAGAATGTCTTTCTCTTTGCCTTTTATAGTTGAGGATCACCCCGCTAGCTCGCGCTCCTCGGCCCAACCTTACATCATTCGCGTGAGATACTGGAAACTGGCTCCGAGTCTCACGCCTACAGGCCGCAGGCCGCTGTCCGACATACGCGCGCGTGCACAGATATCGCACGCCGCGTGCGTGGGCCTAAGCGGCGCTGCAGTGGGATCCCCCCTCGCTTTCACACGGGGGACTTGTTTTTATCAGGTCACTCTCCAGGTTTCAGTCCTAGTGCTGAACAGCAGATGGAGATGTAAATGAGTTCATATACTGGGAGATCCACATGCTCAAAGAGTCCTAAATATAATCCGGCCTCTACGCAAAGAGTTTATCTCTGACGGACGGAGCGTTGGCCTAGTAAACGCCTCGGCCAAAATGGCGGATGAGCGTGAGCGCATGTCAGAGGGAATACTGAGCTCTTGCGGGCGGGCGGGGGGGGGGGGCGGGGCAATCCCGGGGGTTATTGGAAATCTCACAACGGAGGTATTTAGAGCACTGCGCGTTTGAGTGAGTTCGTGGGTCCGTTAACAAAAAAAGGCTCTTAGTCAGGGAGTTCCCCGACTGTAATGAGGCCGGGGGGGCCGGGCTGACGCATCGGCGCACTTAACCTCAACCTGCGGCCGGGACACGGCTCTCTGGCAGCACCTCCCCAGCCAGCGGACATCTGTACCACCACTGCTTCCATGTGCAGGTTTAACGAGCGAATAACAGCGGTGGGGAAGTTACTCGGGAAAGGCAAATTACAGGGGGGAGGAAACAAATGAACATTTTAGAGGGCAATGTCCTTAACGGTGATGTAGTAAGTGGCTTTTAAGTTCACATTATAAGTGGAGATCCTCAGTCGTTGCACTGTGATGAATGTGGAACATTTTTCATGGAGGTGATGGCGAGGAGATGGTATCCGTGTCTGGTTTCTAATAGAAACATCCTAGTGGAACACTGGTACTAGAAAGACTTTAACGTCAAGGCAGTTGATCCTGAAAGGTGTTTGGACAAACCATGGTAGGAAAAGGAAGAAGAAAGCCCAGATGGGAGTGAGCCTAAACACGGAAATGACTGCAAAATGAATCTGGGTTGCTTCTGAAACAGAGTTTCTTTTCTTCAACTTCTATTTTCATCAGAGCTCTTACTCAGGGAGTAACTCCATCATCGAGTTATTCTCAGAAACGTCTTAATCTTCTACTACTTAAAAGTTTATATATATTTACACTACCTCATTTCCTCTGCTCGGTTGTCCCGTAACAGGAACGGTTCATAACGAAGAAGGCTATTTGAAACCTGTGTTATAATATTCCTTGAGGCATATGAGGCCACAGTATCTAACTCAAGGCTCGGTCTAATCTTGGCATGAACGGATGGATGTTTCCTTGGAGGTGATGGAGGTGGGTGCAGGGCAACCTGCGAAAGCCTGTTCATTTGGGCATTAAGTCAGGTAACTGGCCCATGCAGAGCGACGTCTTAAGAGTGAAAACACCAAATTATCTTTTAACACCAATTACTGTTGCATCAGAGACTCTTCAGAGTCGCTGCACTGCGCTGTGTGGCCGTCTCATTTAGACCAGATTAGGGGGTCAAAGGTTTGCTTTGCCCAGCAACACGCACTCTACAGAGGGGGTTTGGGTGGCGAGGTTTGCCCAAACATGGTCAGAAATACTGAAGATGCGCGTGTGCACACACACACACACGCACACATAATATTCCGCTTGATATACGTGGGGAGTTGGAAAAGCCTCTAAATGTAATTCTAAAAGGATTCCATTCTCCTCCGATGAATTCACTCCACTTATAGTTCACTGTGAAACTGGCACTTACCTTTAGAGAACCTAAAGGTGGATTCAGATGAATGGATACTCAAAACAAACTTCATTAAGGAAGCAAATTGAATCTGAAACTCTAGCCCAAGGATGCTGCCTTCCACCCATCCGCATCACAAAGAGGGACGGGGGTGAATGGGGGACAACCCCAGCAAAGGGGAAAGGAGTAATAAATAGAGGCTTTAGCGTTTGAGGGGGAACTGGGCAGGAGGAGGACAGCGGGACGGAGTAGGGTTGCTCAAAAATAAGGGATTTCTCCCTCTGCCCAAATAAGTACCTCTGAAAAGAGAACTTTTTGCCCTGCTGAGCTGCCGACAGGGCAGCAAGGAGAAATAGAACATGTCCATATAGAGACGGGAGCTGTGAGGAGAGGGAGCAGGAAGGGGGCAAGGGTTAAATGTTTCCCCTGAATCCGTGCTTTCCTCTGGCCCGAGCCCAGCCAAGAGTCCCCCCCCCCCCATCCCCGCTGATCGACACAGCAGGAGGGCCGACCGGGAGCGCGACGGAGCGCAGGCAGACCGACTATTGCCCAAGAAGAAGCTGCAGCTTTTGAAAGTCAAATGCCACGGGCCACCAGCGAGAGACCGGAGATCCTTCACCCGGGTCGTGACGAGGAGAGAGAGACAGAGAGAGAGAGAAACAGGTGGAGAGGAGAACCTGCCTTGACAAACACCCCGCAGATGTTGCTCCTCTCTGACACCACTGGTCTCCATAGCAACCCTGGCCAGTAATAGCCTGCAGCTCCCTTGACTGCAGCAGCCTCACGGAGACGCACGCACGCACGCACGCACACGCACACACACGCACAAATTCCAGCCTCTGAATGGGATCCCAGTGTGTATTTTTAGAGACAGAGGGACTCACTATCCCACCCAGTAGAACCGTCCCATCAGGCCCTACCAGCGAACAGACATATCTAAACACAGGCCATCTACACCCATCATTAAAAGCCTTGGCGACACACACCCATGTGCGCGCACACACACACACACAGAGCCACTAAAACAGCTCCACCAAGTCCCCTGCTTCTAGTAAACAAGCCCTTTAATTGGCGATAACAGATAGCTGGGGCGGTTCCATTAGAGCCGGCCCGTGTTGCTGCTTTCCGGCCTACGTGCTGATCGGCCTCCTCAATAATGAGACACACACTCATTCCCACGTTTGACAGTGGTTCTCTCTACATTTTGAGAAGCACGTTTATGTTTGGGAGTACAGGAGACGGTTTCCTCCTGACCGATGAGAGTAGTTTTCGTTCGGAACTGAAGCCTGTTGTTCACACCCTTCTACAGTAATCCTGCCTCGGCGGGGGAAGGAAGACTGTATCTAAGAGGGACTTTTATTTGATGTGCTTTGTGTTGTTTTCGGGAAGCTGACCCGAGTTGACATTGTGCGTCTGTTGTGTCTTTGGCGAGCTTACAGGGGCGTGTCAGATCAGAAAGGCCCTGTGTGTACCACAACCTGATCCGTGAAGCTGCTCTGTGATCTCCCCAGCTTTAAAAAAAACAAACAAAAAACAGGCAGGGCTAGATTCATGGCATGAAACATCATCTGGGAGGGCGGGCACCTTTTTTCAAAGGAGTCCCTCCTTGACACCTTGAAAGCCTCTAAAGGGCCATGCGGAGGGCGGGTGGGAGAGTACTCACCGGGTGACTGACAGGGGTCCAGAAGAATTGAGGGGAGGGGTAACACTGGAGAGGACAGCAGTGGACCGCTCTGTAGAGAGACGAATGGAATGGGTGGGTGGTGGGGGGGGAGAAGAATAAAAATAAATGAGTGAAGTGTAATTTGAATTCATCCGCTTTGCTTCTTCGTTATTCGGCTTCATCTTGTGCACTTACAGTGAGATTACAGATGCTTGAGCTGCCTTCAGGGGAGACACATAAACACTCTGCACGACATGCACCCCCCCCCCCCCCAAGGTCCTTTTTCGAATTGAAAATTTGATTCATTCTTCTGGCGGGCGGTTCCTAAAACCTTAATAACGCACAGGCTCCCTTAATAAAAAAAGGTTGCTTTGGTCATAGAGTTCTGGAAATGAGAATTGGACGTACAAACACGTCCACGTCGGCTCCGCTGGAGCTTCAGAGAGGTAGATGGGTCACAGAGTATGACGAGAGTCATTATATTATATAAATAAAATCATCTCTGTGACCATCTGAATCACATGTACTCCTACAATAGGGAAGATGTCATGGCGTCCTTTTTCCTTTTGCAAAATGTGGACCAGTTTAGAACCAAAAGATGTCAAATAGATAATTCATTGACTACTGAAAGGAAAGAAGATGTTCTTGATTATTTGTTACGACTACGCAAAATAATCTAATCATTTGAATATATACCTTTTATTTTTTTTAGATGGAAAAAAAACACAACAACACCTCTGTGAGAGTGGACAATTAGTCCAAAGGGTGCTTATTCTCTTTGAGGGCTTGCATGAATGGAGTGCGTAATTATCCAACAACGGTGTGACTGAGCAAACCGAGCTCCCTCACAGCCACAACACAGACGAGCTGCACACGTTTACGTTTAAAAACAACGGAGCACAAGGACAGTTGGGAAATAAAAGGTTCCAGGTAACAGGACTTCATGGAGGGAATTAAACACTGAAATTAGTCATGAGAAACTGATTCAGGCTGTCAATATTTTCACAACGGGAAATGTCCCCTTGATCCGGCTCCATCATCCGCGTGGACGGGCCGGTCCCACAGCAGCAGCTCATGCGGATCAAATATTCTTCACGCCAGAGACGCTCGGTGGCCTCTTCAGTCCTGCGGGGGGGATCAGAGGGAACGCTCTGCACCGACGAGGGGGAAGCCGCGTCGAGTAAACACAACGTCCATTAATCAAAAGAATCCAGCGCAGGGATTATGTGTGACGAGAAGTAAGAAGTCTGAAAGTTACAATGTTCTGGTGGCACATAATGATTGAATTATTGCTTCTTTTTTTTTACCCTAACCAGCTGCATGTTAACAATGTTATCATGGAGACACTTCCTATTACTTCCTGTATAGCGATTTCCTGCAGGATATGACTTTCCCTGAGGAGCCATCTTTGAGACCATCGGAGTCACGTGCACGCCCATAGTAGCGATCAGTGCTGTCAGAGATATTTCAGAGCAACAAGATGCTCCAGATTACACTTGTCGGCAAAAAATAAATATGAGATTAAGTTCAGCTTCTACTCCGGAAACGACACTACTTCAGGCAGCTTATATTTATAAGAAAGAAGGCGCCTAAGTCACTATACACAAACACAAAAGCCAGCACTACCACTATAGTTCAGTGATGGATCAAATGTATCAGAGAGGACGTACTTTGCTCCCTCTACCTGTGTGTGTATTTTTAGAAGGCTCTATTCTGAGCAACATCCAGCGGCGCAGTAAAAAACTCTTTGATTAGGGCAACAGGTGAGAGGCTGGTAATCTCTCCCCCGCCTGCCAGATTTAAACGGTGTAACCAGCGGCAGCTCCAACGTCATTACTCAACCAATGACAGCTCTACGGGGGAAACACACAGGGGTGCTGATTAAAAGGACATCACCCAGAACGCGCGCGCACACACACACACACACAACGGGATATGGCAGGGGATGTGACATTATCCGTGATACCCGGAATAGCCTCATCTAAAAAATGAAAACACACGGAAGAAGAAGGAGGTTGTAGAGCAAGGCACAAGCTGTTACGCTAGAAGATTGAGACTTGTTTAATGACATAAAGAGCAACATGAAGTGTAAAAACGCGTTGCAGTGGTTTTAACGGTGAGTTGTGTTGTCGTCACTCTGAGGTTTTTTGGGGAAACCAGTTGCGAATTCATCAAGTTAAGAAACTACTCTGTTCCGTCTTTGTGAATCATTTGGCAAAAAAGTGAAGGGCAGATTTATTATAGTAAATTACTCTTTTAAAAAAAGGTTTTCATCCAGTCACAGTTGTGTCATATTCGATCATCATAGTAGGATTTCACTAATGATAAAAATACAACCTTTTTATTTATTCATTTAATTTATTGATGTTTTTTACTTTCTCCGTGTTTATTGCACAATTATTTTATATATTTAATATTTATAAATGTCATTAAAAGGTATCAAACAAAAAGCCAGCAGTGGCTCTGATGGACTAAAACCCTTTTCCAGCAGTCTTCTCACTAGACTGAGGCTGAAACTAGATTCTGGAAGGTAAAGATATACCAGAGGCGCGATGGAGGGGAGGCACAAAAACATTTCCAATACACTTTGACGTTTTCATTTTCCTCGGCGATGCTGTCAGCAGCCAACTCCCCCGGGGGCCCGAGAAGAGAGGCAGCCACAGAGAACACAACCCAGGAGAGACTCGAGGTGAGAGGGAGATCTTTTCCTCTTTTTTTTTCTACTTTGTGAGTCACAGGGTGACTTTCACTATTTTTGCCTCAGAGAAGGATGAAAGTCGGTCTCCTTACGAAGGAAAAAATAAGACATGGCTTTTACCTCCACTTCTGACTACAGACCTGAATCCCTATGGGGGCCTGAAGACGTTGCAGCAGCTGGAAAAGCTTTTCACTGAGTAGCTTTTAGGTTCACTGCAGAGGGAAAAATAAAATGCAGGTACATTATGTGGTTTATATCTGCACACAACATTCCCTGGTCTCCCTTATGTGTCCAGTGTATTTGGTGTCATTTGAAGACAAAATATCCCCCTTTATCCGCCAATAGAAGTTTTACAAAACTCTTCTGATGGTGTGTTTGATTAGGACACTTATACAAACTTTACATTACAGGGAAGGTTTGTTATGATAGCCTTCTAATGGATTCATGTGCTAAGCCCCGACGTTTGTTTCAATGCCGTGAGAGAAGTGTCTGAAGAAAAATGGCTCGGGGCCTTTGACAAACATCTGGCACTGGTCGGATTTACATGTGAGCAAACTCTCGATGTATTTTACGAGTTGTAAAGTAAAAAACTGCCGAAAAACACAAATAAAAATGGACTTTCTTTACACAAATAAGGCCTGTTTTAAAAACACAGGCATCCCCCTGCAGCCTTGAGATTATGCAATTCAATAACTACGTCGAGACAACAATGCATCGCTCTGTACTTTTAAACTTCTCCGAGTGGGCCGGCAGCTCCTCACACAGCCACACAAGAGCCGCGCTGTCGAAATGAGGAAGCAGCAACATTCCAGCTGTTTATCGAGTCATCTGATCGGGACCAGCGATGTCATGTGATCTTCGTTACAGGCTCGCCGCGCTTTGGGCCGACCGTAGCCTGACGTGTTCTGCTATGTTTTAAGGTTCCGTTCAATGGGATTACTCTGCATTGCCCCGGGAAACAAAGTCTGCAGTTCTTTGCATTTGACACACCTGCAACTTCATAATGTGAAAATGTGTATGAATGCATCGGAAAACTGTTTTCTCGTTCAATGAATCGATTCCCTTTTATTGTTGAATTTGTTGTAGAAAAACATCTTGCAACAACTTGCTCGAACATTTGGTTTGATTGCTCACACCAACAAATCAACATCAATATTCAAGTAGACACAAAAAAGAAATCAATCAATAGTGAAGTGTCTCAAATATTGACTGCGTGATAAATGGACTGAATATTTCCGCTGACTATAATGATCCTCATCAGCCTATTGTGAAGCTCTGCTCTCTCTTTTATTGGGCTGGCCGGCTAATAATAGCTATCCAGGAGAGGATGTTACAAAATCCAGCTTTGCATTCTGGGGCAGAGGTCGACAGTTTAATTGGAAGTGCGAATTGCGTTCACGCGTGTCCCCACAGTGGATTGAGCCACGGGTAAAGTGTGTGCATTTAAAAGACGGGAGCGTGGAAGGAGAGAAGAATCAAAGAGCGTAGCGGTGGCTAATGGCTCGCTCGCTTATCCGGTTTGCGACGCATTTCAGGAGCCACACCTGAAGTGTTGTTTTACTCCACAAAAGGCCGTTTTGCTGCATGTTACCGAATCAGCTGAGCGATTGCTGCCAACTTCTTTCGTTAAAAAGCAGTAAATATTGACTTGATGACGGCAGATCCCATCTGTCGGTGTGTCCGAGTAAGCGGTTCCCTCTCTTTCTGCGCGCTTTGCCTTTCCTCCCTGCAGAGAATTCCCCCGTCTTTATATTCCCCCTCCAGCCTCACTTACCCTTTCTGTGAAGACGCACGCTCGCATCATTGATCCCGGCCTTTCTTTAAGCAGCAGACACTGTGCTCACATATTAATCTGGACGACCCGTTGGTTGATTTTATCAGAGCAGAGGACGACGACGGGCCTCTACTCAACCTGCAGAGCTGCGCATCCGTGCAGATAAAGAGTAGCATGTTTTACAGGCAAGGGCTCCCCCCGGGTTACTGTGTCTTCTTAGGAAAAGGAATCGCTAAGTGTTTCTACTGTACAACATCAAAGTGGGACAGAACCATTTGTACTGTAGATGATGACACTTTAACTTTTTACACAAGTCAGACAGTAGATGACACTCATTCAGAGAGGAATTGCCGGTCTACTTTTGGATTGCATTTAAAGATGCAGCTCCTTTGAGCCTCCTCAGCCCGGACGCAGACTCAAGTGGCTGTCACATCCAGTTTTTGCAACAAACGTCACGGCCTGAAAGTGCAGCTCGGCGTAGGACGGCGTTCCAGGGAGCTGAAACCCAAGCAAACACTCGCGTTGGCGCAGGCATGTTGAGTGTACTGCTGATGCTGCAGATATCGTTTAAGTTCACAGTGTGGAAGGATCAGACGGACGCGGTTTATAGAACTTGATGTTCTATATTAAAAAAAGCCACACAGCCGAGTTAATTATATTAACGTCCTATTGAAAGGTTCTGTATATGATTTGACAGCATTAATATAAAACTTAAGAACTCTTTGTCTAATCTTTAATATCCTGCAGCCACATGAGGACATAATGGAAAATACAGCGAGTGTTGCGGTGGTTCCCGTTTCATCTAAACTGACCCTTTGATAAGCCCCGCCCCCCGCAGAGACCACATGAAGTTTTCAGAGGCACGTTACCATGGAGACAGCCTGTAACTGACTGCTCCCTTTGAATAAATATCACATTTTGGAGGAAAGCGATTTTTAGAGAGAAGCAAGCAGAAGACATGAAGGGTGTCAAACTAATTCAGCTGTGAAAACAGGTTGAACAGAATAAAGATAAAAACTAAAGCGGACAAATCGTAGCGTAAAAGTGAACCGCCACGTCCCCTGATAACGGAAGCAGAAGAAAATGAAATGGGGGAACAACACTGTCCCTGTAAAGCCGGCAGGTCATTATTCTCTGTAACATGAACATCATTGAAAACGAAAACGCAGAACGTGTAGAGCTTCGGTGCACTTTCAGTAGCTAGCGCAGCAGTGCTAATCCTGGTCGACCATGTGCTAACGTACTCTGAACACTCGAGCTCCACGGGTTTTAGAAACGTGTGTCTCCTTCCAACCTCTAAAAGCAACAAATGTCACTTCTCCGGCACAAACAGCCTGGAGAACGGAGCAGCGGGATTATCGCAGATACACAGCATATTTATTTGAGATGAAATAGTTTGAACTATTTAATGTTTGCTGTTGATCTTAATGCAGGTGATCTTGCAACTGTGAAATGTGCAAGCTGGCAAGCTGTTAGACTAGACTTCTTCTTTTGTTTTTTAAAACAATAGCTCCCCCCCGGACGGTACTACAGTGGTGTATTCCCATCCATCACCGTATGGCATATGCTTGAATACTTACACGGTACCACCAAGGAGGCAAATAATAATTTGGGATGATGAAAATGTATACTGCTCTCCTGAAATGAAGCTTAGAGCTAAATTAAATCAGGCACAGCCCGCAGTCTGGGTGCTACGCATTACATTATTAATACAGATTGCGTTCGTAGAACAGAACATATTGTAGAGTGCAATCACCCCCTCAGCCCCATTACGGTTTCCTGCTTGGCGTGGCCGAACAAGAACGCAGCCACTGCAATCTACTTATGGTGAGCGATGTCTGGCTGTGGATCGACCACCGCTGCACATCAGCCTTCTGTGGGAGATACGGGCAACGAAGGGCCTCTATCGTTTAGCACGGGTCCAATAAAAATGTCTCACCATGCAGCTCGTTTGCCACGTTGCACACTTTGAATGGCCGAGTAACAAAACAGGCCAAATGAGATTGGGATGGATATTTGAGCTCAATGTCATATGGCAAGAAAAGTCATTTGCCTTGCTCATCTTCCTAATGGTTGTTTTGAGGCTTTCCCTCGTCTTTTTGTGCACTCAGAAACATCCGGATTACATGTGTGATGTATGCTCACAGGCGGGATGGAGCGATATGTTTCATACACATTATGCATGCAATAGTCAATTACTTTAATGTGGACCAAGTTATAAATATGCAACAACGAACCAGATGCTCTGGAAAGAAGAAACTCGTAATAAAGAGGTAGCCTGTGTTAAGCAAAATTCCAGGAACGGATCCTTGTGAGAAGTCGCTGATAGATGTTAGCCAGCTGTGCTGTTAGACAAATCCCAACTGGGACCGAATAAAATTAACCCGAGAAAAATGTGTTTAGTTGCAGTGACCACGAGCAGCCAGCAAACACAAAAAAACTCACCAGTTCAGCATCAATAACGTTCAGTGGGAGAAGCTCATGCCTTGGCCTGCAGAGACAAAAAAGGACATGGTAAGAAGGGAGAGAGAATTTCATAATTCCAGAGGCTTGAATCTGGACTTATTTGGACGAGGTCAAAAACCCTGCTATACAGTAGGAAGGGGAGAGACGCACATACCACATCCCGCCGCTCCCCTGCCAAGAAAAACACGCATTAAATCGCAAAATATCGACAAGGAGCTTCACAGCAACTTCCTTCTCAGACTTCAACAATAAGATCTGACGCGTGATTCGACGCGCTTTTTGACATCAACACGTCGCCTGTCAGTCGGTGTGCCGGGCCGCCTGTGTGTTGTCCCATCAATCCATCTGGCTGTCAAGCCCGCCTGCACTTCCACACTCACAGATCGCTCAAAACATACGCGAGGCTGACGGGCACCGTCGTCGAGAACGTTGTGATTTAAGACCGGAGGGCCCCGTCCAAAAGTCGGGATGGAACAGAGGACAGCCGAGCTGAATCAAGAGTTCTATTTTTCAGAAGCAAACAGTGCAAAATAACCGGCGGGCCGTCACTCAGTGTGGAAACACAACAAAAAGAGATTCCCACTTCATTAGCGTTTGAAGGAAAGCCTACAGCTACAATCAGGCTCAACATGGGAACACGAGCATCCCAAAAGATATCAGTCGGCACTGCGACAGTTTGTAGCCAAATCAACCGTCTCCGTGGCTGCAACCGTCACATTTGGAAATAGGACGTGTTATAAATGCTTAGCGCGGCTTCTTTTACTTTCTTTCTCATCCGCATGCTTTTTTTGTGGTTCGCTTCACAGCGACACAAAGTGAAAATATTCTTATTCTTTCTGGCTAAATGCACGGAGATAGTGAAAGAAAAAAAAAAAAAAAACATGATTTACTCCCAATCTCTCCGATTCTGAGCAGTAAATGGATTCCCGCCGCCTGCGTTGCACAGAGCACACCTGCACACGTAGACGTTAAGCCAGACACGCCATGGATGATCTCACTGCGTTTGGAGCAAAACAACCAGATGAACAGCAATGACAATCGTTTTAAGATATAATGAGCAAAGCAAAGATATAACACTTGCGTCATCTGGTGCCAAAGGAAAAAAAAAGACCAAAAAATAAAACAAAAACACCTGCACGCCCTCAAATAGCCTTTAAGCTTCTTAGGCCACGCCGTTCATCACAAAGCTTCGCAGTGCATGTCTAAGCCTCAGGTGAGAGATGGTCATTTTGTGCGGGAGGGCGGCGTTTTTGCTCCTGTGATCACCAGAGAAACGTTCGGTCAATAAAGCCACATTTGTTTTTCTTCACATAATAGTTGTGATCTTTGGCAGGCGGCGGTGGACGCGCTGCTGAAGGAGGGCGTGGGGGGGGGGGGGACAAACGATAATGACACGCTCTGTGGTGCCTGCAACAAAAAGCCCGTTGAGATTAGACACGGAGGCCGAGCAACGTGAAGATAAACTGTATTACACCTCTGCTAGGTTTTACAGGAGCAAATGTGGCTCGTAAGTTAAAAGAAGACGCACCATTGGGTGTGAGCAGGTGGAATAGCTGTTAAAGCAGCATATAAAACATTAACGGCTATTTACACATTTACCCTCAGGTTATTCCAGAACAAATAACCTCTGTACCTTCTGGGTGTGTATGAGGAAACTGGTTGAGAAAATATGACATCTACTTTATTGACTCATCGGACTAAGCCACGCTGTTATTTGAACTAAGAAACACACGCTTATCTCTTATCGTCCCCTTGATAAAAGAAATTGAAAGTCCCGGACAGTAAACCGACATTGATGCAACAAATCATATAATATTCAACGTCTTTTTCACTCATCATTCTTTTGATGCGAATCGAAAGCAATTTACGGCTCACTTGTCAAACATCGATATGACCTTGAGGATTCGAAATAAACACGTTTTTTTAAAAAACTTTTCTGACGGATTCGCCAGAGACACTTTGTCTTTAATTACGGCGAAATAACTTGAAAATGGGATGAGCAGACTACAGTGCAACAAGCCACGTTGTGCGCACATTCGTGTCAGTAACAGACATAAACAAATAATAATAATAATATATTATTATATATAATAATATTATTATATATAATAATATATTATTATATATAATAATATATTATATTATTATATATAATAATATATTATATTATTATATATAATAATATATTATTATTAGGGGGGGGGTGGCACGCGCATCACCGTTCCCGGCTCTCTTCCTGTGATCTGTCCCGCTACCGTTAGCTCCACCGGCTAACCCTCCGCGCCGTCAACAACCTCCCCCCCACACACACACCCACCCCCGGCCCCCCCAAGACCCCCAACCCCGCACCTCACCTCACAGAGCGGCCGAGCCGGAGGACGTCTCCCCGCTGCGGCGTGTTTACCTGCCGGAGAAGCCGCGGCGACGAGTCGGTTCGAGAGTAAATTCGATATAAAATTGCTAACGGTCCATTGTAATGCTAGCTAGCTAGCTAGCAATTAAGCTGCTGTCTCCAGCTGTGTGTGTGTGAGGGGGAGAGAGGGGGAGAGGGGGAGGATGTCCGAGTGATGAGAGCCGGGATTTGGAAGTGAGCTCCTGGAAGAAACAAAAAGCTAACGTGGTGGAGTTTAAAATGCATTATTATTATTATTATTATTTTTTTTTAAAAAGGTCCCGTCTCCAAACCGCAGCCGTCCCGAGCGGCACAAACCGAAACAAAGAGTCTCAGCGGCTAAACGTTTAAACTGTGAACGCAACGACAGCAGACATGTCAGGAGGGTTCGCTCGTTTCTTACGTGGTTTCGGCGACGGGGGACCGGGCTCGGGTTTAGTCCCACGGCGGAAAAAGAGATGCTGCTTTGCAGGAGTCCTGTTCCCCCCCCCAACCCTCTCTCTCTCTCTCTCTCTCGCTCTCTCTCTCTCTGTGTTGTCTCCGTCTGTGTGTCTCCCAGCTGCCCTCCTCTCTCCCGTCTCCCGTCCGACTGTCCGGTCCGTGTGTGCGTCTCCCCGCCTCCCCCCCCACACCCCTACGACCCCGCTGCCGGAGTGTCCCGGTGATGTTGTTCCACTCGCCCTCCAGTGGAGAAGTGAACCGGCCCTGGCAGACTCCGGATTAGGATCCCCTCTCCGGCTGCTGCAGCACGCGCATCCCCGCCACCGCCACCAAAAATGTGTGCGCGCGTCCCTGTGCGGGTGCGTGCGTGTGTGTGTGTGTGTGTTTGCGTGCGCGAAGGAGTGCGCCTCGGGTTGAGCAGTGAGTCATCCAGCAGAACCAGACCCAGCTCCTCCCTGCCTCTCTAACAGCTGACTACCGAAGCCGCCATGAGTTGATTGGGACAAACACTCCTCCCCCTCTTCTTCCTCCCCCCCCCTCCCTCCCTTTGTAAATGCTTCTGTGGGTTTTTCTCTCAGCCGGGACTTCATTGCACTTGGTTTTGTTTCTGTCTGCGGAATCACCTCACGTGGGCTGATGTCAGTCTTTAGTCATTGTGGTAATGTAGCAGAGGGAAATACACAAACAAAGTCAGTTAGCCTATAACATGGTAAAGGTTAGAAGTTCTTTCGTATACGGTATATTTCCTGAGAATATTACTATTTACTAATCCCCCCCCCCCCCCCTTTCAAGACTTGGACCCAATAATGGAGCCAATCCCAGCTGACAGGAGGAGGAAAGTCCCTCTGGATGCTCTCGCATTTCTGTGCTCGTCTGGAAAAGACGTTGTCAAGCGATGGCTGTGACAGGAAGGACATGCCCTCCAAAGGGGACATTTCTGTGATTTTACAGATCATGCTTGAGAACAGAATTGTAAGCTACTTTAAGGTAAGGTTTAATGTTCACCTCAGGGTTACGTCTTGGGTTTAGGGTCATACTGGATTAGGTTTACATTCGGTTTACATTAGGACATACACGGCAAAACAGAAGGACGGGATTTCAAGGCCGAGGACAGAAGGTCGTCTGTGAAGCGCCTTTTCAAATAGTATATCCGTGTATGTGTGAGTCTGCTTAGTTTACCTTCCAAGCAGCACTCGGGGTCCTCTCCTCTCCTTCCGCCCCGGTGTTCCTCATTAAAGCCCAGTTACAGGACACCTCCTCCTCGTCCTCCTCCGCCACCACAGCAGATGGACAGACGCAGGGTGGTGATATTCCTGGAAGGTTGTTTGTATAACCCTGGGAATGTTATTAAAAAGTCGCTCTCCTTCTGTCTTGAACTCAGGGTTAATTGGCTCACTTCCTTGTTGCCCGTATGCACGGAGGCCTCTGAGTGGTCACAGCGGTTGTTACGGGCGACCGGCCTTGTCTTATCTCCTGTTGCCTTTTGCGATTCTGCTGTAGGAGCTGAGACTGAGAAGGACACAGTGTTTATGCGGTCTGGAAAACACGTGCAAACACACACACACACACACACACACACAAACGCCATCAATATATGCGCTACGGACAGCCGAAAAAGACACACTCCAGAGTACGATGTGGGGACATGGTACCCAACACACAACGTGTGTGGCTTGCAGGAATCAGACTTTTTTTGGTATCGTTCGAACTTGCCCACAAACACGTGCACACTCACTGGTTTAGTTATGACACAAACGGTCGTGCATCCCTGTTGGATCTGTTGCTGCCTTACTTAAAGGGCCCCTAGTGGCCTGCGGGAGAACTTCAGGGTCCAACGCAAAAGAAATGCAAAATATCGGAAAAACTACTATTCTTATTGCGGTTGATTATACGCTAATTATGCCGCACGCTGTTCCTTTAGAGAGCTGACAGGGATTCTGGTCTTAAGAATTTGGAATTCACATTCCTCTTTGGGTTATTTCAAAGAACCTGTCTCCTAGGAGATGATAGGAAGTAGGTCATGATGGCCACTTCCCTGAGCACTGTACGTATACACTCGCCCACGTACATGCAGCACATACGCGCCCGGTCGCCCCCCCCCACAGGTTGCTGCCACGCGCACTCTCTCTGCGGCCGGGTTCTCACACGCGCGTGACCTGCCTTCTCGTCGTTAGTTTGTTGACGTTGTCCTCTTATTAACCCGTCTTCGCCGTGAGGCAAAGACTGTCGGTTGAAATCTAAGCGTCTGTTTCACCTAAAACAATAAACCGCGACAAGACGATGATGAGACGAATGTGATGGCAAACAAAACGCAAATAGAGGAAGAGGAATGAAGAAAACAATGAGGACAATGGACCTTTTGGGGAAGCACAAAGACAGTAAAGTGATACACGAATGACAAGAATTAAAAAAATCGACCACATACATGAACGTGAGAGGTGAAGCTGTAGAAATAAAAATGAAAATACAATTATTTTTGATGACAAATTCCACACCACAGAAGTACAATAATAGCCACATTTATTGTAATTACAGGCAAATTCCCTTTACACTATATATTTTGTCCATCAACTTCATCTTTTATCCTTTATGTCATACATACATTTACATTTCCAGAGTGCATACACGTAAGTTGACGTAAAGGAGTGTGTGTGGGGGGGGATGGGGGGGGGGCTTTTAAATAAAGTACTTCAAGACTAAAAGGAGGTTGTCTCGTATGAGACACAAGTCAATGCATTACTCAGTAGTGGTACTGTACTTCAAAGTGCACACGGCCTATTCAATATCAGACAGATTTATATTATTTTTTATATAATGGCAATTTAACCACTGATGCATTTCACACATTCAACATCAAACAAGGCAAACCTATTCAAAGGCACAGGACTCTCACATCAACATCGGCTTTTTAAAAAGTAGTTTGTACTTACATGTCAGGTCAGTCACATTCAACTTTTTTCATTTTTTTTTTTTTCAGCTGAAACATGAACCTTGATTTGATATCAAAGAACCCGTGAGATAAATGGCACTGGACAGTTAGAGAAGTTAAAAACACTTCCTCGTGGTCACTGGATGGGGCGGAGTTTCTCACGCAGAGGAGTAAATAGTGGATTCATTCCGTTGGAGCGACGTCTGCTTTAACACATCCGAGCCGCTTCGGTTGCAAACGCTTCGATCTACAGCGGCTGAGCTCCGCGAGCACGGCAACGGCGGGCACAGCACGCTGGTCCCCCCACCCCCCCTCCGTGGTCCTCGAGGCCTCTGCTGTGTTTACCGGAGGAGCCGAACACACATTCCACCGGAGGGACACAACGGACCAGTTAAGAGGACCTGTATGAAACCACACCGGGATCCTCTTCTCCTCCTTAAATATCCCCGTTTGGTTGTTTTAGTTGGCGAGGACAAACGGTACGGGATGCAGCGTGCGGCCTGTCACCCGCCCCCCCAGTCTGAGGCCCGAGGCCCTTTGTCACCACCCTCGTGCGGGTTGGTACACCCGCATGTGTCAAATACTTTGACCCAGGAAACGAGCGTTCGAGACGAGGGTTTCATTTCTGCACTTCTGTCGTTTTGTTGTCATTGTTTCTACGAGGACGCGCTGGTTAACTCGGGGGGGAGGGGGAGGGGGAGGGGGCGCGAAACCTGTTTTACTCCCAACTAACCGGCTCACACTGTTTTTCAGGTTTAGTTTTAAATGTTTCAGAGAAAATAGATTTACATTTAGTTCACAATTCTGCTACAGAGCTACTGTAACGTTTACAGTTGATCAACTACATGCAAATACTGTACAACACGCTTTCTCTCCACCTCCCCCCTCTGGGCAGGATCGCCCCCCCCCCCAAACAACGCAAACTTGTTAAAAACTAGCCAAATTAAAATAATGCCAAACATCATTAAAACCAAATAATTAAGTTTAAAAAAGTGACGGGTTTTAAAGGAAAATAGCAGCAACACAAAAGCTTCAGTTCTGTGAGAACAAAATGGGAACCAGCGAGCCACCAGTGCCTCTGGGTTAAAGTAAGAGAGTTACGTTGGGCCTGCAAAGGAGTGACGGTGGATCCAAACGTTATAAAGGTGGAGGCTTTGAAGGCCGACTCCACTTATGCACGTAAGCTTTGCATGTAAGTAAATTCAAAGCCTCGGCCGCCATTACTGTCATTATCAGGTTGTTAAAAAATAATAAAAAAAGAAACTACTCCCTCTGTGCAATAGTTCAAGTAAGTTATTTCCTGCAAATAGTTAGTGCTTCGAAACGCATCCTGTGGCCGTACCGAAAGAGACGACAACGTAAAGGTAACCTATAAATACACAAAAAAAAAAGTTACTATTTACATGAAACGACTTTTTCCGGACGGGAACGCACTCCACGCAGGGAGGACCCCTACTCACCCGTCCAGGCTCACATTAGATCTAATCCTCCCATTGGTTTCAAATTAGGACCGCGGTCAGGAGATGGGAGGGCGAGGGGGGGGGCAGTCTCATCCTAAAGCTGTGGCCACAAACACATCCAAGCAATCAGTGCCCCGGTGTGGAGCAAAGCGCCCGGGCTGAATCTCTAGAGGGACGTGTCGTACACCCGCTCCGACGAGCCGTCCTCCGTGTCGTCCTCCGAGGGCGACGCCTTGTGGTTGAGCCTCTCCGTCGCCGAGGAGGCGGCGGAGAGGCTCCCGTGGACACCGTCGTGGCCGAGCTTGGCCCTGCCGCTGTCCTGGACGAACTCCTGGATCTCCACGGGTAGCCGGCGGAATTTGTCCTGGTACTCCTGGTCCAGGTCGCTCTGTAGCTGTGAAGGACAAGACGCGAGTCACCGGACCAAAAAGAAACGCACAGCCAGAAGATCAAAGATGGGATTGATAGTGGAAGATAGTGACTGAACATTTAGGCTCTCGATGCCTGCGATGTTTTTCAAGGCATGAAAGGTAGAAAGTAGTGTGACGACATCAATGCGCCGCATGATCACTACACTTTTCCCGCGCGCATGAGGGCTGTAGGAAGCAGATCACCTCACTCATTTGCATCAAGTTCTCAGAGGAGCACAAGGAGAACCATCAGCCGTGACGAAAGGCTCAGCGGGAGCCACATGTCGCTCACCTGCTGAATCCAGGTATTCTAAACCTCCACACGGCACCTTTAGGGAACACAATTTTCCTTTCACAATTATCGTTATAGACCCGATAATCCGATGCCTTAAAAATGTCGGTCCAATATTCACTTTTTAAAATTTTACATACAATATAAAACAGCTTGAATTGCTGTCCATTGAAGCACCATGGGTTCCCCCCCGGTTTTGCACACGTTGGGGTACAGTTCGCCCCGTAAATGATTCCCATGGACTTTGGTTTCATTGCGGGCCCTCCAATGGGGAATACCCAATAAAAAAGTCTTTCGGGTGGACAAAGTTCCGCCCCCCCTCCCGGGGGCAATAAACCCCCTCCCCCCCCCCCCCCCAAGTGAGAAATAGAAAGCAGGACCTATTTTCTCCCAGGCCAAGACGCCCCCAATGATTACAGATGACAAGATTGTATTCATTTCATCGTAAGCCAATAATTGCTGTAATGCTGATTTCTCTGTTTAACTACTCGACCGGCTCCCACGGGAGAGCAGTAATTAAAAGAAAAGCCGGTAAGATGAATGGTGTCAAGAGTTTCGCAGCGTCAGCATCGCGAGAGATCGGCGGTAAGTTCTGCGAGGATTCGATCGTCGATCATCTTCTTCCATCAGAGGACGCCACGTTTCAGACCCACAAACAAGCAAACAAATGCATCACGGGCCGAATTGGCAAGGTCGGATGCATCGCTGCTAGACAAACTGAATTATCATTTATTTGTCGTTACGCCGGTGATGGAATTCACATCCTGCGGAGAGAAGCCCCGCATCGTTCAATAAATATTCCCGAAAAAACACTCGACCGCGAGTGTGAGAGAGGAGAGGAGGTGCCATGAAGGTCAAGTACTTCCATCCTGCTCGTAGTCGACTCCCTACGTTCTGCCCTCTTCACTCCACTTCATGAGGCGGCACCTCCACTTCGCTCACGAGTGCTGCCTTGCAAAATGGGAAAACCTGATTGTTACAAAGCACTTCATATCTTTCATTTGATGTTAAATCCTGTAGGTTTGTTTACACGAGTGTGGGATTTGAGAGAGTTGAATAATCACATTGTGGCATCACAGTTTTGCTTGTTGTACTTGTTTACTTATTATCTGAACATATAAATACAAATTGAATGAATTGCTATTTCTCTGATGCTTGTCTTAATTTTAGCAAACCGTCTTCCCGTTGTACAATACACATCTACGTGAGAAGTCACGCACATAAACCCTCAGGTTCCTCCAAGTCTCAGCATCAAACCTCGAAAGCAGGTGAGATATCACTCATGGCTGCTTGTGGGAGCTCAGCATCTTAAGGTCACCTTCTCTCTCTCTCTCTCTGTCTCTGTCTCTGTCTCTCTGTCTCTTTCTGTCTCTCTGTCTCTCTCTCTCACAGAGCGGACGTCCAGCTCGTCCCGAGCAGATGGCTAAAGACGCCCGTCTCTTCTCTCCCAGCCCTGCAGTGCGCATGACCTACTTAGGGGGTGGGACGGTCTGCACGACGCGTGTGCGCGCGCGCGTGTACACGTGTGTGTGTGTGTGTATTTGTGCACGTGGAGCTCGCCGCTACCCCGCCGACGGCACAAACACCCTCCGATCAAAGCTGTCGTCTTTCTGATGACACCCTGGCACATGTCAAGGAGGTGGGAGCGAGAGGGGGAGTTCTCAGAAAGACGTGTGTCTATCTGCACAACACACACACACACACGCGTGTCCTCTGCATGGAAGCTGCAGTCAGAACGGGGCTGCTGAGCGACGAGGGCGGCTCTTCGCTCTCAGCGTTTAAAAAGCTCAAGCAGTTGGAGAAGGATGGGTTGGAGGACACATCACTTCACGATCTCCACAAGTTTTGTTCGGCGTGTTGCACGCGTGCGGTTTTGGACGTGTGTGTGGTCCAGTTCTCTGTGTGGACTCTGGCCAGCGGTTAAATCTGTCCTTCATCTCTGAAGAACTGTCAACAAATCACACACACACACACGAAACACACACGCACACACACACACACATTTCTGCCTTTCCTAAAATACAGCGTTCGATGACCTTCTTCACCGGCTGTCCTCGTTTCCAGAAGCTATCAAGGGAAGCAAAGAGGGCCTCCGAAGAGCCAAGTTAATTCTTTGCTTTGAGTCGTGACATAACGCCCGCTGCGGCGCACCAGAAAAAAAAAAGGCGAAGCCCTTCGGTGCGACCGCGGCGTCTCTGCCCGGCCCGGGGCAGGAACGATAAGGAGGTCTGAGAGAAGAGGCCCCCCCCGCGCGGTTTAACCAGCCGCCGCAGCGCTTCCTCCACACCGGCCTTGAGGTTCCCCCGCGCGCTTCCAATTAGGCTAAAAACCAAGATCCCGTGTCCAAGAGAGCAGGCGGGGTCACCACCCTGTCAGCACCTCCCGCCTTTTGGGGGAAAAGGAGCTTCGCCGTGCTGTGTGTGTGTGTGTGTGTGTGTGAGTCCTCTCAAATAAGTCATTGGTTTCTTTGCAGGAGACTTGGTAGATTCTTCTCCTGAGGTTCAGGAATTAAAAAAAGTAAACCACCCCCTCATAGTGTTGTGGTACTGAGTGCTTCCCCTTGTTTTGGGTGGAGAAGGGAAGCCGCAGGTGAAATGTTTAGGTGGTGTCTTCATATTGGATACCAACTAAAAGGTGCTACGTGTTGCGTTCATGTATTATTGCGCATGTACGATTAGTTTTCAAGACAAGACGCAAAATGCTGTTTCACATTCTCATTCAATTATTAAAAGGTCAAATATTTGACCTTTCCCATGTACTCAAATGCCTGCAGCAAACGTTGCAATATGGCAATATGCAATATATACTTCAACACGGTTCGCCGGCCTCACCGCTAACAAAAGGCTGGCGCTCAATGAGGCGATAAACCTCATAATCCCCCCTGCGGAGAGGGCCGTTTCCGGCAGGAGGAGCTCGCTCACGAGTCTTGGACACCGAGCTAAAACAGCAGCTAGCACAGTGGAACAGAAGAGCAACCGAGCGTGCAACATGGACGCACGCTCACACACACGCCATGGATTTCACCTCTGGTTTGTACTCGGTGTTACGTGGGTAACGTGTGTGTGTGTGTGTGTGTGTGTGAATGGGCAAGTGCATTATTGATGCAAACTCGCCAGGCAGAGATGATGCAGATCAAAGTGATGAGGGAACATAGAGGTCACACTTACATCACCCAGTGAGAGGGTGCAACACAGAGAGAGAGAGAGAGAGAGAGAGAGAGAGAGAGGGGGGGTGGCCACAGTCATCTCAGTCCTGCACGTCTCCACCCACCCCCGCCTCCTACACCCACCCTACCCTCACCTCCATCCCCACCCTCCCCTGCAGCTTTCCTTCACTTCCACTAACCCTGGGATTGCGTCATGAGCACTCAGTTCCAAATTAACAGATTGCACCGAGTCATAGAGGAGGGTGTGAGCGGTGGGGGACCCGAGTTTCCATGACGACTGCGCAGGACTCCTTCTTGTCGAACAAATGTGCGTGTGTGTGTGTGCGTGTGTGTGCGTGCGTGTTGGGTTCTGTGTGTTGGTTCAAAGCCTGCACAGCGGGGGGGGGACACGCCATCAGATTTGTTTTCCCTTTTCATCCGAGTGAGACAGAATCGGAAAGTCTCCCACGTAATAAGCCGCCGCTACGCCAACACACGCACACGCTGCGAGACATATGGCTTAATCACTACTTCATACCCTCTTTCACAGCCAAAAAACGGTGTGTGCGAGGGTGTGACCGATACGGAGGAATCACAACGTGGTCCAGAGAGCCTTTTCGTCTGGAGGTCGAGACGGAGGCCTCGTCACAAGATGTCCGTCCTCTCCGTCTACTGAGCTACTGAAAAGCCCATTTTGATGAATGGTGTGTTCAAACCTTTATGAACACACTTTAATAAAGCTGAGTGAATAATCTCGACGATGATTAAAAATACCATCTCGACAGGCGTGAGCATCTTAACGTGGACGTATGGCAATGGGGACCAGACCAAGGAAAAGACCGAACAGGACAGGATGTAGGAGTCTCGAGGAGTGTCCCAACCACGGACTCCATAAAATAAGACACAACCGGCGCTGCAGCGGGCCGCTCAGGTCTCAGGGTCCCCGCCAGGGACGGTTATAGCTGTCCATTAGCCGTCGCCCTGAGCCCAATGGAGAAAGTGGGTCAGAACTGCATGAGACGTAAAGTATGTTGTACCGTCTGTCGCTGTGATCCATGAACACGAACACACACACACACACACACACACACACACACACACACACACACACCCCAACGGAGCGCTCTGCGTCCTGTTTTTCATCCAATGTTTACACGTCCGTTTGCATTCATCCGGTGCACTACGTGACTAATGGAGAGGCGGGTTCAACGACCCGCCGCCTCAAATGTCACTTTGAGGAGTTCCAACCGCGGTGAAAGGACGGCATTCACCAAGGGCTCCCAAATACGAGCGGCGAGTGCTTCACAAGGGTTCGTATTCATCCCACTCACGCACACACACACACACACACACACACACACACACACACACACAGACGGTATCGCTGGTGCCGCCATGCGAGGTCGACGACCCGCTCAGTGGGAGCAGCTCCGGGTTCAGCGATCTGCTCAAGGACATTTTCAAACGCTAATAGGCGGCGCTGAAAAGACTCAGTTGTGTGAAACCAACGTGGAAGTGGTGCTGGGAATCAAGTTCAAGGCCTGCAGGTAAAGAGGCGGGGGGGGGGGGGGGGCGCATTGCATCCCTGACCGAGTGATGTTGCCTTCTATATGGATGAACTGTACAGGGGGATTCACTGACTACGGGAGGAAACATGCCATATTCTTTCCCGCACAGAAGCCCACACAGAAATGGCCTCTTAACACCTAAAAGATTAAAAACAACCTGCGCATTCTCAGCTAACCGTCTCCGAGTTCTCCACACCGGCGCACATTTTGCATATAAATGAGTGTCTTTGCATGAGAGCAAATTTCGCAGAGATGGTTGATTACGATGTAACAGCCGTTCCTCGGGGGAATTCAATTTGCCAATGTCCGGATGTCAATTCAGAGAAGTGATTGCGACAGGGGTGGATAATCAGTCACGGCTTTCGGCGTAAAGGACGGCGGCCGGGATCTGATTGGAAGAGAGAACTCCTCTCGCCGGACGAGAATCCGCGCTGATTAGACCCCGATGACGCGGCTCATCCGCCTTTTGAAATCCTCGCGATTCCGGTGTTATTGACAAGATCGTCCAAAGATGATGAAAAGTCCCCACGTGATCACACTAAAGGAGCGATTCACACGACAGGGAGGCAAACGCAATCATTCGACTCCCCACTCCCGCACCCGCTGTGGCCGACGCGCTGCCCCCCTGGTCACCGCTTTAGTTCCGCTAATTCATTTGTGCAACAACCAGCGGTTTCAAACGGAACCAGGAGCCGTCACTTCCACTTTCCACCTCGATTACACCGGCAGTGTGTTGCAAAACGCAGGGAAATCATGGGTTTAGAAATGACTGTGTTTCTGGGTCTTTGTGTTTATGTGGATGCACCTGTACCACCTGAGATCATACCCCCCCCCCCCCCCCCCCTGCCCCGGTTGGCATCTGGGTTCCTCCTCCAGGATCAAATACGAGGGCCCCTGACTGGGGTGCGATCTCACTATTCACGGGCCAATCTGCTGTGCCGTGTCCAATTGCGCCGCCGCCATGCTGTGCAGATTACACACAATTACATTCACAGCCACGCCGTGTTTGTCGTGCTTGCAGGAAACACCCCATAAAGTGTTTGCAAAGCCTCATAACGGCGTTCGGCGTCAGGGAGATGCTCGTCGGGCCGCAGCCGCTACTGGAGGTGCAGTGCGCAGTCACTCGTTGCCAGTCAGTGTCCCAGGTGTGTAAAAGCTTGCCGCCGCGCCGATGCTGAATTCATACCCGGGATGCAAGGGAGGGAGGGGGGGTCTCAACATGCTCCTCAGCTGCACAGCCGTCCTACTCGATAGGAAGGGAAAAGCGGTCAAGCTAAAAGCGCCAGCAGAGGGACGGCGTTACGTCTCGCCTGCAGGAAACACGTCTCGGCCTCAGCTCACATGGCAGGAAACCAGCTTTCAGTGATGTGAAACTGCCCCACATGGTGATGCTGGTTCTACGGCACACACAGTTCAGCCGGTGCGGGGATTCAAACATCTGGTATCGTCACAGATGTGTAAGCGGAAGGTTTTTAAGGGGAGGGGGGGGGGGGGATTTGGAGGTCATCTTGCCATTCCGCATGAATGTAGCAGAACCATGTCACTAAAGCCGAGCCAGGTCGCCCCCCAGTGGTGTAAATAAGAGTAACCTAAGTAATATTTCTAGGAACAACGCCTGAAACATCCAGTGCCGTCCCAAGATCTGCGTCTAATCCATGCGCTCATTCAAACAAAGGTCTGAAAATATTCAAATTCTTTTCATTTTTAAAATGTCCTCGACAGTCCGGAAATATTAGTGGACACAATCAACACTCAAAATCTCCAAAAAGCCATCCATGTTGTTCTTATGTGGAGGGGAACCCCAGCGGGGAGGTTTCACTGCATCTCACGGCTTATTTGGAAGACAAATAGGTGAGAGAGCTGATTGTTACAGATATCAGATTATCTGATTTGACAAAAATACCACAGAGAACCGTGATATGAAGCTTTTTGCTTTCTGCTGCAACGATCTACATCCGTAAACAAAATCCCCAGTCTGTTAGGCGTTAATGGAGCACACCGAGTACCAACTTAAAGAAGGCGCCATGGTGAGAATGTGATGGAATTAAGAGAAAAACATCAGGCGCAAAGACAACAGCAGCAAGAAATACACCACAAACCAGCTTCTTTAGATACGTGTCTCACCTTCGGCCTCTCGTCCAGGATCTGCTGGCGGATGTCCTTCTGTTTCTCCAGCAGTCTCTCCTGTCTTTTACTCTGAGCGTCTTCCAACTACACACACACACACACACACACACACACACTATGAGGTCTCTGCGTATTGCTGTTCCATTATGTTAGCATATTATACAGCAAAGGTCATTATGGACTACGTGGACCACAGTCTCTCGTACCCGTTTGATGTACTGGACCACCTCGTTGACGAATGATCTGTTGATCTCCAATTTTTCTCTATGGGGGGGAGAAGTTTGAGTCAAACCGAGCGCCTCGTGCAGAATCTTTAGTGTTTGGTGACATCTAGTGGTCAGAGACAGCACAGCCTTCAACAATGTGGTTGTGAAGCTTTAAAACACTCACTCCTCTGTCGCGTTCTTGTCTTTAGATTTGGCTTCGTTGATCTTCTCCTGCCTTTTCTTGTCCATTTTCTTCTTGATGTCCTTCTTTTCCCTGCAGATGGAGAGACGATGGAGAGGAGGATGTAGGGAGTGAAACTCGTAGTGTTTGTGTGTGCGCGTGCGTGTTGAACACAGTCGTACTTCTCACAGACGTCCCTGATCTTCTTAAGCTGAGCGCTCTGGCACTCTTCTGCGATGGCGGTCAGCTTCTCCACCAGCTGGAATCAAGACAAAGAGGGAATCGCGAGTTGACGCACGGAACGTATCGACAGACTAAGAAAACATCTGCTTTTGAATCTTGATTATTTTACACTCCACTTTAATTTAAGGCAAAGTTGTTGAGATCAAAGTGGAAAAAAGGAAGATTTATGTGAGGAAAACAAGACATCTCCATTACGCTCGTTGTCTTTTGCCTGAATAAACCTTCCCGACGCCTCAGCTGTGCTCGTGTCCTGGAGCAGAAGACATTCATTTTTCCACACCGTACAACGGGACAGAGTGCAGCGGCAGCAGGACGATGGCTGTCTAATTGAGGGGTAGTGGGGGGGGGGGACCTTACGGCAGCATTAACTCATTCATTTGTTTGGTTGTTGGTCTCACAGACAGTCCAACGCGAGTCAGGGGAACGTCCTGCTCATGTGTTAATGAGTGTTTGCTTGTCCCTCTGCTACAGCGTGGACATGTTCATACACGCGTGTTTATACAGACTCTATTTGACTGTGTGATGTGTGTGTGTACCTGCTTGATGTGTTCTCGTTTCTGGTACTTCTCGCTGTAGTACTGCTCCTGGCGGAGCTGAAGGAGCTGCTGCTGCTGCTGCTCCTTCAGCTCGGCCAGCCTCAGGCTGTAGTCCTGGTCCAGCTCACACAGCTCCTGGTCCAGGCTGGACAGAGAGTGCTCCGACCGGCTGGAGACGCACGCACACACACACGCACACACACACACACACACACACACACACACACACACACACGCAAACACACAATACCCGTGAATTAAAAAATACCACCTTGAGTGGAATAAAAAAGAAATGAGGAAGTGCCTTAAACTCGACTTGTGTTCTCTCTGGTGGCCACTAGGGGGCGACGTTGGCATAAACGTCTAAGAAAATGACTTCTGACTGATGATCTCACTGAAGTAAAGGCTTTTATTTAGGATCAAAGAGGGGCATGAAGAGGAGGAGCAGCAGGACGGTTTGAGGAGGAGAAGAGGAGGGCTACCTACCTTTTCTTACCGTCTCGTTTGTGGCTCTTCTGCAGGGCGGAGCGGCCCCGCTGGTGCTGGTTCTGGAGCTCGGACACGCGGGCCGTGTGCTCCTTGATCAGCTCGCTGGTCTTGCGGTGGTGCTTCCGAACCAGCTCCTTCATCTCCTTGTACTGCTTCTTCTGCTCCCGGACGAAGCCCTTCTGCTGCTTTAGCTCCTCCACCGTCTGAGCCTCGAACTCTACAGGCGGAAGGAGGGGTGAAAGGGGGGGGGGGGTGAGGGTCAACGGAGGGCAAAAAGTGAGCGAGAGAAGGGGCTGTTGAGACCGTGTTAAAACCTTACCAGTGAGGACGCTCTGAATGAGGTCTTCGGTCTTCACGGATGGTTTCAAGGAGCCTGGGTACCAAAAGCAAATTTATTTTATGACAAATATTCAACATTGGCAGAAAACATCATTTATCCTCTCATAGGATTGATCCGCATGCCTTCAAATGTCTCCATATTTGGAGTTTTCCCGGTACTCTGATATCCGTAGCGTACCTGCAGACTGCGGCTGGTGGCCGACCAGCGAGGGAGGTTTGGGGGCGATGACGGGCGTGTGGCTCAGTCCGTTCTCGGCGGGCAGCGTCGCCCTCGGGTCCACCTTGGATTCGGCGGGGGCATCGCTTCCCGCCTCCACCTGTCCGCCAAGCGAAAGATTCAACGTGCCGCCGGAGAGCATCCTGACTTCTTGCAGGGATTAAGCACCGGACGAATGTACAGCAGCGTTTCTCAGAAACACACATCAATCAAACCAAACACAACCCATTTCTCTGGCTTGACGGTCCAAAAACGGTTGTACCTGAGTCCCGCCGGATACTTTGAAGATATATCTCTGGTAACCCACTCTCAACATGGCAGGTGTTGGCTCCCCTCCCCCCACTCCGGCTCCGCTGGATCTCAGTCTACAAACTCTTGTCTCTGCAGCGCGGACGCGATGATACGGAATCTTTGTTCTAGTCACACCGGCCACATTCTGTCTGTTCGTCCTCCTCCTCATGCCCCGCCTCCCAACGCTCCACCACTTTTGGTCACTGTTGCCAAGGTCACGGCACGGAACCCTCGCGGGTATAATGGTATCAGCTGGCAAATCAGATAAAAGAAGCCCTTCAGGTCCACCCCCCCCCCCCCTAAAGGTATCGTCCTTTTGCTCCTACATTCGTCGCCGGCTTCCAGAGCGACACTTGGACAAAGGTTGTGCTTCGACGTCAAAGCAGCTGTCTTACTGGACGCTGGGGGAGGAGGGGGGGGGGATGTCTCCTTAGGCCTGCCACGCGGAGCAGCTAGGACTCATTGAAACTCCTGGAGCTGACTTTTGAACCGTAGCCTGTGCTCAGGTTTAAGGTCTCCCAACAGCAAAATCAGCCAAAAACGTTTTTTTAACATCTTGCATCTAAACTCGTCGCAACCCAACAGCAAACCTGGAAGGGAAAGTCAGCAACCGTCGTGCAGCCCGAGGCTGCAGTGTGCTTAACCTACACAGGCCAAAAAACAGAGTTCATATGGGAGGAGGGGTGGGGGGGGTAAAGTGGGGTGAAAAGAAATACACCTCATTGAGTCTCCTTAGGAGGGGGACTCCACTGCATCCTCTCACGCCCGCGACCATATGGTTTCATTTATAAACCGGTTAGTCTCTGGTGATGAGGCGAGAGGCCAGCTGGCCGAGGGGCCGCTCATCTCCATCAGAAACGGATGGGGGGCAAACAAATACGACACTCACACACACACACACACACACCTCTTTGTCGCCCTCCTCCTCTCCTCCCTCCTCCAGAGTGAGAGCAGCCAGCTGATTGGCTCTCTGCTCCATCAGGTTGACATAGCGGATGGGATTGGATAAGGCTTCGATGACGTCTGAGGAACAGGAAGAAAACAGATCAGCAGTTTCGTAGCACAAAATATGAGTCTGTGTTGTTTTTTTTTCTTACGTTCACCTGACTTACCTGCAAATGTGTCGGGCACGTAGTCCTTCACCTCCAAATACACGAACAGGGTGGGCAGAGTCAGGGCCTGGTTCTTCTCGTTCCTCAGACTGATGTAGTGATATCCTGCAGGGTCAGAAATAACCGTTGTCTTTGCTGTCATTGAATGTTTCTCTCGATCCCCAACCCAAAGAAAGCATTAAATGCATCAAATCATCCAGTTGACACAAAGCTCTGTCACCTGGACGGATGGCCGACACGGGAATGATCCGGTGGCCGATGGACTTCCCTCCTTCTTCGAACACGGCTATCCTCAACGAAGCGAGAGTGGGCAGGACGACCTGAAAGCGTTTAGAATCCCCCCATTAGCGCCTCACGGGAAGCATCGGATTCAGTTTCCGGCTTCGGGCGACACACTGTCGACACGCGGCAGAATGTGTGTACACGGCTGAGACCACCGTCTGACCTTCTTGAAGACGATGGCCTCTTCCTCCCAGACGGGGTTGATGGCGTTGCCCTGAGACGTCTTGGTCTTGAACGCCTTCCTCTTGGTGTCCACCGGCAAGCCGAACATGTCGATCTCCACGTACGTGCCCACTTTCTTATCCGACAGGAACTGGCCTGAGATGATCTGGAGGGGGTGGGGGAGAAGGGGGATATTTGAAAAAGGAGATAAAGAGAGAGAGAGAGAGAGAGGGAGAGAGAGCCTCACAGACCTTTACAGAGAGGGTGTTGGCTACTATGCCGTCCACGGTGCTCTCGGTGAACGGGTCGAAGTGTTTGTCCGGCCGCCTCATGAACTCCGGTTTGAGTCTGAAGCCGCATTTCCCGTTGTACTCGTACATGCCCAGGTTCAGCTGCATGGACAGGTCTGAGGAGGGAGGACACGAGTTCAAAAAGCTCACCTGCTTGTCGGCCACTGAAATAGTAAAGGTCAAAGGTCTGTGAACTGGAACCCACCGATGGTCTGGAAGTTGAGAGCCACCAGCTGACAGCCGGCGTTCCAGAAGAGCTGAGGGTTGTAGTTGGACGAATCCACCCGGGTGCCTTTCGGGTAGATCCGGCTCAGCTGCAGTTTGTTGTACCTGAACGCGGCCGGTTAACGAGAACGTCGCATGAGCTTAATAGTCGACCGCTTGATCTGAGGAGCTGGATTCGAAGCAGCGTGATGTGAAGGCGGGACCATTCATCACTAACACAACGGATATTACTAATGAACAGAAGGGAGGATCAAAGGAGAAGCAAGAACTTTGATCCCATTTCCGCCCACTTAATATTATTATTTAATTTTCTCTCACCAATTTAAGGCCCCACGGGTTTTTTTTTGTCTGTGTATGTCATTTATCTGCCAGAGGACAATAAAGACTGTGAGATCACATCCAAACATTGAGGGTGCACGCGATAGAACACACAAATGACTGAGAAGGATACTCCACAAACTCCACGGGACATTTAGTCAGCTGCTCCAACGCTTTGGTCTCCACGAAGGACGACATCTGGAAGCTGCGATTGATCTCTGTGGGCGGACGAGGTCGCACATTGAAGACATCGACGCTGTGACATTACTAACTGGGATATTAGGGATGCTCATTTTGCAGTCTTTCATACTTTTGGAGGCCTCGAAGCTGTTGAACTTGACTGGCTGGATGTAGATGACCAGGTTGGACATTTCCTCGGTGGCAAACGCCTCGCTGCCTGCTGTTCCCTGTAGGCAGTTACGCAGTTAAGAGGCTTGAAAAGAGACCTCAGGTAGCAGAAATAAAACGCATTACCAAATGTTTGCACTAGAGGGCGACGACACGCGAGTACTGGACACCGAATATCCATCATCGCTGCCTTCACACGGGCCGCTGACTTGTATACGCACCTCGTCCATCGAGCCCTTCTTACAGTCGTCATCATCGTCGTCGTCGTCCTCGCTTTCCGCCTCCACCTCACCTGAGACACAAAGACATGGCGCGTGTGAATAAGGATGGATGAACGCGTACCCTACGACATGCCGCCTCCATCAGAAAAGAACACACGTAACGGGCCCTGATGGAGGAAATTAAATTCCAGTCCAGTTAAGGTCCAGCTGACCCTTCCCCCCCCCCCCCCCAGCGGCCACATGATGAGCCACCTACTGCCCCCCACAGCCCACCGCCACCCGAGCTACGAGCGACTCACCGATGGACTTCCTGCCGTGCGGCCTCAGGCTGAGCTCGGCCCCCTCCGACGCCTGCGAGGGATCTGTTGTCTCCTCTTTGGTTGAACCTGTGGGGGGGGGTCAGGTCATCAGCAAAACAGTGTTTGGACCACTATGCAGCACAGCGTGTTCTTTAATTAATAATAAGAGTAATGTCCGTACTTGCAGAGTAATTAAACAAAGTGCTTCCTAACCAGGAAAATGTCAAAAGACTGGAGACGAACGACGGCCGCATGGACCCGAATGTCAAATCCATTCAAAACACGACCTGTTGTCATGCAGCCAAATCCACTGAGATGAGAGGAAAGGAGTCGACAGAAGCCGCGACGGCCTCGTCTGCCTTGAATGTTGTGTGGTTTGTCCTTCGTTGTGAAATATCTCACCGCATTGAACTGTTTTATTAATGAATAGGAATAAAATCCCCGGTTCACCGCGTTCATGACACAAATATTCAGCTGTGTGGAGTCAGAGCAACTTGCTGCTTCATAACCTACACCACCAGGGGGCAGTGTGTGTCAGTGTGAGTCAGTGTGTGTCAGTGTGTGTGTGAGTCAGTGTGTGTCGGTGTGTGTCGGTGTGTGTCAGTGTGTGTCAGTGTGTGTCAGTGTGTGTCATTGTAAAACTGATAGATGGCAATACTTTAAAACTGCATGATACCATTCAAGTCCACATACAACATTAATCAACACTGGAAAAGATCAATTATAAAAGAAGAAGCATGCACGTTTTTTCTCACACACACATACACACACACACACACACACACACACACACATAGACACACACAATGAAATGTAGCCAACAACAATGCACACATGAACGATCAGAGAAAAATGAAGCCACAGAGCAGCAGTGTCGATGGGCAATAATCCATTAATGGAGATGTATAAAAGTCCATTGTGGTGATAAAGTACTGCTGGACGCTGCTGGCTGGAGGTTAAGACGCCCCAGTGACGGAGGGGGGAGGGTGTGGGGGGGGCTGATGGAGGGGGCCATTAAAATGATGAAAAGCAGCGACGGGACAGAGGCTGTTTTTTGTTTTTTGCACATCTGTTGCATCGTTGCATCGTAACTCCTCGGCCCCCCGGGGGCACCGTGGCAGAGGTGGGGGGGGCGGGGGGGCGTTACCTGCGCTGGGGGAGGAGGGCTCGCACACGCTGGAGGAGTCGCTGCAGGTGTTGGACACCTGCTCCGACAGCTTCTTCTTGGTGCTCCCGTCCGTCTTGTGGTGTTTCTTCTTGTTCTTCACCAAGATCTTCCCCATCAGCTCCATCGGGCTCGGTAGTGGCACGCCGGACTCCAGCTGGACGGGAGGGGGGGGGGGGGGGCATAAAAAGGAAAATGAGGACAGAGGAAAGTTCATGAGAGTAAAATATAGATCCGTGCGTTTGTAATAGAGGCCTTTTTTGCAACAGTTTGGCAAACAAATGAGCCGATAACAAGAAGGAAGTGTAACTTCCTGGCAGAAGGTTGTGCTGAGCAGAGCTCGTTCGAGGCCGTGAGGATCGGCGCCGATCTGTTCTCGATGGTTTACACTTTCAACACTAAAATCAGCCTCCTGGTGTGTGTGTGTGTGTGGGGGGGGGGGCGTCCTGCCTTCCCAGGGAGCTGAATAGAAGCAGGAGGATCTGTGATTTATTCATGGGGGGGGACACTGCTTTTGGACTCACGGTGTTTAGGGATATTAATAATGCATTATGGGATGTCGCACACAGCGGTTCACAGCGTTTTACAACTTACAGCAAACGTTTTCAAAGCGCTCCAACGTACACATCAAACTATGTAAGTTAACTAAGACACACACCTAAATGATCCAATCCTAATGATCTATTACTCTTCTGCTGAATTTGTACTTTTACTTTTGATCCCACAAATATATATTTATCAAACAATTAATTCAGCAAATTCAACATGTAGTTGCAGGTGTCTGTTGGTTCTCTGATTGGTTCACTTTAATGAGATTTGAAGCTTTGCGCGCACGCCTCGCGTTGTAAAGCTTATTTAACAAAAAAAAAGGAATAGACTATAGCTTTGGAATTTGAATAGACCGGAGGAAGGAATAAATCCGGCAAGTGGTAGAAAAGATAATGAAACACATCATTTCTTTCGGTGTTCAGCACTTTAATTATCCCGGAAACAGGAGTTAAATTGGGCGGCTTGAGAGAATGTGGTCGAAATGTAAGATGCATTTACTCAAATAAAGATTCCACAAGACAATAAACTTTCGTTTTTTTTGCTTCTTGTTAGTTGAGCTGACAATTAAAAGTTAACGATTGAGAACGTGAATATTAGACCTGTTATTCTTCTTGCTAATGAACTTTCAGGAATCAGGAAACATTCATTACCATAATATGTCAAACATACAAGGAATTTGACTTGGCGGTTGGTTTGTGCATTAAGTGCTGTGTGCGTGTGCGTGTGCGTGTGTGTGTGCGTGTGTGTGTGCGTGTGTGTGTGTGTGTGTGTGTGTGTGATGTGCAGCCTTTGATTAAAGGGACTTCATGTTGTTGTTGTTGTGAAGCTGCAGCCTCTCATGCTTCCCCTTCTGCCCACGTTTCCCTCTATCGCGCCTGCTTTCACAGTGAGAGGAGATCTTGTCTTGCCAGTGCTGCTATGTCCTCAGCTTAAAACTAAGCCTCAACAAGACTGAACAAACTGCAAGAAAAATATCTTTATTTCCGTATTCGTACTTCGTATTTCTTCCAGCAGTTGTAATGAATTTTGGGAATACAGACTTCATGATGAACGCAGTGATTAGATCCGTGTAACAAACGACATCCAAACGAATCCAATTTTGAAGTCATTTCAGCTAATTTTTGGCGGGAATGGAGCAGACTGTCCTCAGTTTTAACTAAAAAAATAAAAATAAAACGCCCGGTCTCTTCTATTCACCGCGAGTGGCGGTTCTGTGGCGAGCAGATACGCAGGGAGCTCGTATCTCTCAGAAAACTGTAATCCTCTTTATTCTCACCTACGGCTAATCCGAAAACCAATCCAGCTGTATCACCGCATCCGCCCGCGCCCCCCCCCCCCCCGCCCCCCCCCGGAGGGCCCGTCGGATCCGCTGCACACCGGCCCGTCTCCGCGCCGGAGGGGAGCGCTCGTCATTGCACTCACCTCTCCCAGTTATTACGCGCTCAGTGGTAGAAATCTGATCCCTCTCTCTCTCTCTCTCTCTCTCTGTCTCTCTGTCTCTCTGTCTCTCTCCTCACATCTGTCCTTTCTCTCCACAGCCACCACAGATAATAACTCAATGTCAAATGCAGTCAGAATGCCGCTGGGAACTTAAGCCGCTCCGCAGCGGCGAGTCATCTTCTCTGAACAACGCGCTGGCGGCGTGTGTTGCAGCACACGCGTGTGTGTGTGTGTGTGCGTGAGGGTCGTCCGCGTGCCGCGTCTTAATGCGAGTGTGGGAGCGTCTGAGGCGGAATAAGGAAGGAAGGAAGAAAAAAAAAAAAGGACAAAGCAAGTTTTTGACCGGTATCCATGGCAACAGAGGAGAGACAGATAGGCGGCTGCCCGAGAGAAACGCCGCGTTGATGCCGCGGCGTGAAGCACTTCCAAAAGTTGGCTCCGTGCGCCTGTAGAGCAGAACGGGAAAAAAAAACGGCGAGCGCCCGAGGACACGTGGGTGCGTTCGTCCGCGGGACAATATCCGGCGGAGCCGTCGCCCCGGGCGAGAGAGAGAGAGTGTGAACGCATCTTTGTGTACTCACAGGATATTTCTCCAGAGGGTCAGTCAGTAGCGCGTCTCCGAATATCGACCGGCAGTACTCTGCCATCTTCGCCTGCTGCTTTGGCCTGGGAGTCAACACACACACACACACACACACACACACACACACACACACACACACACACACACACACACACACACACACACACACACACACACACACACACACACACCATCACGGTTTGTCTATTGAATGACAAAACGGGCTGAGCGGCCCCCTCGGAGGCATTAGAGCGCTAATAATAGCTTCCTCCCCAAAAGACGTTGACACATCTGACGCACAAAATGGCAGATCGGGCCCATCGACGTCGAGCCGTCCGAATGAGCGGCGAGGGGGGGGGGGGGGGGGGGGAATTACAAATCCACCGGGGTCTCCAAAGGAAAGAAGAAGGGGAAAGGCCACCTCTTTAAAGGCCACTCCGCTATTGCCTCGATCACCTCCTGGGGGGACACAAACCCGGGAAGAAAAACCGCCGACAACATATCCCCAATGAACACCCAAAGTTTGTGTTCTCCGCACCTTGGTTTAAAGCCCGTCTGTGGGGAAAAACCCGGACCCTTTAAATTGAAATCAAACTCCATTTTTGATACTAATTCTGGTGGGCGTTTATTTATATTCCCCAGGTTCTTTCGTGTAACTCTACGCTACGCTACGCTACCTCCTCGCTAACTAGCTGAGATTCTGTCAGAGCTCTTCATGCTGTATTCCCTTTAAACAGGTAGTTATTACAGACTCATCATAAACCGAGCACGGCAGACTGAGGCAGCGGCACGCCGGCAGAACGCACCGCGGATAAATAAAAAGCCATTTTGCTTAACGAGGATTGACAGAACAAGAAGGAGCCGCAGAGCTGATGACGAGCTGCAGATGACGGAGGATTTACTCCGTGACAAGCTGGTATGTGGAGCACTATTTGCTACGCCTACAGCATGAAATCAGATCCCTGCTGCAATTATTAAGGGCTGATTATTTGATTAAAATATTGTTTGTTTGGCCGCCCTGTAAACAGATGCATCACTTGTGCTTCTCTTGTTTTCATCACAACGTTTATCCAGTATTTGTTGTGGTATTAAACTTAAATGCATCAAATCAACCGTCTACAAACAAAACAAGCATTTGCACGTGACGTTAAAGCACTTCAAATGTCATCCACTGGAAATAAAGATGACGCCCATTTTAACTGTAAAATATCTCAAACTACAAGTGAACTGAAACACGGGAGGTGGAGCGTGTCGGCCGAACAGCATCAGATGCAGTAAGTGGATCATGTGTGTGTCATATGGATGACATCATCCTCCCAAGGAGGTCTGTCAACCCAGAGCCCCGCCCCCCGTCTATCTGAGGCAAAAGCTATTAAAACACGCAGAACCACGGCGCTCTCCTCGGGTTACCTTGAAGGAGATTTCCGTCGTCATGGTGAAGCCGTGAGTGATGACCGGCTCTTCTTCTGTGGTGCGACCCTTCCAGCAGTCCAGTTCGATGCAGCGGCACCCGGACAGGAGGACCTGCTTGTACATCTCGACCGAGGAGTTCCCCGCGAGCTGCCCGGCTGCAGGCGAGAACACACGCACACACACACACACACACACACACACACACACACACACACACACTTTAAGTAAATGTTCCATTGATCTTTAAAGAACCGAGACGCCTGCAGAGCCCCCCATCCCCTACCTTCTCCTTCCACACCTTTAAAAAGCCCATTAGACGCATCACCTGCCCGCGTGCCGTAGAAGCAGTGCAGCTGTTATCTGAAGCACGTCTCGTCGTCACACCGCTGCCATTAGCGAAGGCAATTATCTGCTCACGCGACTCGGTCAAAAGACTTCGGTCGGCTTCAATCGCCGCCTTTTTCCAAAATTACATTACATTACAGGTCATTTAGCAGACGCTTTTATCCAAAGCGACTTCCATTACACTTTTAAACCCATGGCTTTTTCACATTTTTGCCCGGGGAGCAATTAGGGGTTAGGTGTCTTGCTCAGGGACACTTCGACGTGGAACATGGGGCAGCCTGGAATCGAACCAACAACCTTGTGCTTCCCAGCACACCTTCTCTAACCCCTGCGCCACGACGCTTCTCTTTGTAACTTTCCTGTGTAACTTTCCTTTTGGTTCGACATCCTCGTGCGGTTGGAAACGAGGCGGCGAGTCCAATGCGCCGCACATCGAGTGTCCGTCTCAGTACCTCGCGTGGACGTGATGTTGATGTGGTGTCACTGCAGGGATAGAGACGCACTCTGCAGAGCAGGACATTCCTGTGATAACAATAACTCCATGTCGCTATCAAAATACATAATCAAAGGGCCGCGTTTGTGAGGAGAGAATCGAGCACCTGTTGTTTGTTTTTCTCATTTCTTCATTTCGCAGACCGTGTCCTATTACAAAATTCCATTTTTACCCTCGCTGCAGAAATTTGATCCACTCCAAAGATTCAATGGTCTCCCGTTCCCCTCCGAATAGATTTGAATAGATGAATTCTAATAGCCATTGAGGAGAAAATGGCCCCTGCATAAAGCCGGCGATGCTTGTGCACTGCCAGGAGCCAGTTACTGTGACTACCGAGTCAAAAGAAATATTTAACTCATGAATATCAATGAATCGAGTATCACGGCCTGACTTGATTGGATAACCTCTGGGGGGGCAGCGCGAGAGAAAGGCGGGGCCTGATATGCACGGGCGCGTTTCAGTGACGGACCTGCGAGGGATGAAATTGCGTTTATTCACTCGTGCAACAAGACCCATATTTCCAAAATGAAGCGCTCATCCGTCGAATAAATGATGCAGGAGTGCAATCGTTCAGTGATCGAGCAGGGTGGTCGCGTGTGCGTGCATGCAGGATGAGTGTGCGCACCCGTGAGGTATGTGTTGTGTGAGGAGTTGATGAAATAGTTGGAGAGGGGAAGGGTCATGTCTTCGCTCTGGTCCAGCTTCTCAGGGGGCATGATGCTGTTCTCCTCCCCGCTCAGATACCTGGCGAAGCCTTCCAGCGACATCTGACCTGCACGCACAAAGCACAGCACGCAGGAGTCAGAATGGGCCCAAAGGGGGTTGAAGGAAGAGATTCATTGTGATGTCATAACTCAAATAGTTTATTCAAAATACTCCTTCTGCAGGAAAAAATGGGGTTGCAGGACTTAAATTTATTGATCCCCTCGGGGGATTTTTTGCAACAACGTTCATGTAGAATACGATGCCCGTATTTACACTGTATAACCAAAACAGGCTAATGGATGGAAAAAAAAATCATTTTGACCCAATTCTGTCTGAAATAAAAGATGAGCCATGTGTAAGTCTTTATAATAAAGACTATTTTTAAGTGTTTGTGTTTACACACGCAGGAACCCCGATTCTTTGTTTGCAAAACGCCTTGGTGGTTAATCCTTCAAGCCTTTACCTCAGTGGTTCAGGTTCTTGCGCATTAGCTTTTCATTTGAAATATTAAAGTGTATGTGGATGAATGCATTCAAATATCTTCACAGGTGGGTTGACGCCACAAACCGCAGCGTGTCAAATTCAGGCTTCGCTGGCTTTCTGTCCATAATACAGTCGCACGGCTCGGCGACCTGACGGAGCTCGACTGCTCCCGTTGTTGTTTTTGTCAAGGTCACTCAGGTCAAGCGCCTGCCTCTGTGCTGATCCTCTCGGCGTGCTCCAGAAAGCCCCTAACGCTGAATAAACCAGTATTAAAGCGGCAGAAGACGAGCTCCCGTCATCCGCACACAAGACGAAATACTTGCGTCGGGCTTAAACCGAAAACACGCACACTTGAAGGAGCTTCCTAAAGCACGTGTCGGCCAATCAGGGTCCGAGGTGGGATTGAGTGAGAACCTGCAGGTCGTCCTAAAGGCGTTTCTCACGGCGTGCTTGGTATGCACAAGGCCCCTTTCTACAGGCACCGGTGTCCTTGAGTGTCCTTTTTCGTGAAGGCAGCAAAAGCTCTGGACGCCTCTGCAGAGCAGATGGCGGCACTTCCTCTGTCGGTGGGACAGAGAAGGTCACGCTTCCAGAGGGACGGGCGCGTCGGCGTGATCGCGGGCCAACGGCGACATGTCCAACGCTGGCATGTGCCGACGCCGGGCGGAAAAATCGATTTGATCCGATCGAGCCCCCCCCCCGAGATAAGCTTGACGAGATAGATAAAAATAAAGTGTGCGCTGGAGGAGAGACGTTAACACACCGGTGCTCTGCTTCAGTCGGTTCAGGTCAATTTTGTCTCTGTGTGATCAGTAATAAAATGTGCAAATGTGATCGGCGTAATAACGATCCGCTGAGCGGGTCTTTAGATAAACAGCCACTCATGGCTTCACCCATTAGCATTTTTTAATTTGAAAAGCAGAACCTCCATTTAATAAAAGCTTCCAGGTTATTTGTTTGCTCTCCAAATATTTTTTAAATATGTTAAACCCTTTGTTAATTACAGACATGCAGCGCAGTGAGAGAGGCCTTTCATGAGCAGCTGTATGCAGGTAAAAGAGCCTCCTGCGCAGATTGAGCTGAAACAAACCAAAGGTACGAACATTTCACAAATCAATATCGTTTAACTCGCATGTAGTATTGATCGGCTGGACACATCAAAGGTTAACGTCATCACTGAGGCACACTGATCTCGCCTCTCATCGGCAGATGATCTCACGTAGCCGACCGGCTGATATCTGGACGTTCTCCAAGCTCACAGACTCGCCGGGTTCTCCGCGTTCATCCGTCTCCATGAGTTATTATATGTGTCTTTGTTTTCATCCTCGTTGTTTTGAGTACTAACTTTTAACGCCTTTTAACAGGTGACACTTCCTGTGGACGCGGCGCCCGCAAAAGGAGACGAACGCGACTCGGGGCCGCGTTGGATAATAATAATGATAATAATAATAATGTAATAATTCAAATAGACAAAACTACAACTGGTTGCCTGGCAACTGATCCCGGGCCCGGGAAGCGGTTCAGCAGACCCGCGGGGGGGGGGGGGTTGGGCCCGAGTACGGCTCATCGTACGGAGACACGACGTGTCGTAGAGCTTCAGAAGCCGGCTGCGTCTTCGCGCTGAGCTAAGCTAACCAGCTTCTTCTTCTCCTTATTGTCGGGAACTCTAACAACACCAGAGCAGAAGGACGTGTTTACGCACTCGAATGTACACTTGAGTTCTCGGCTGAAGAAAAACGAAAACCAACCCACGTCTCCCTCCCCTGGAAAGAGGTGGAATCCCCTCCCCTAAACTTTTACCCCCACTGAAATGGCTGAAACCACCTGCTGTGTGTGCGTTCGCGTGTGAGTGCGTGTGTGTGTGTGTGTGTGTTATTTACAGGCTTCTAACATTCCGTTCCCTGGCACCCCGCTATGGGCCCTCTCTTTTCGGACACCAGGCGCCGTTGCTATGGCAACGGCCCAGCCAAATTCGTCGGCGGGCCGGGGAGCGGAGCCCAGGGTCAGCGGCGGGGGGGGAGGGGGGGGTCGGGGGAGCTGGCGTCTATCTAGGTCACATGTGTTGAGGTGTTGTTTTTATTGCTATTACGTGTAAACGGTGGAAATCCCTTTTGCGCATAAGAGCAGCCGGACGTGTCGGACGCGCCGCCGGCCGCGCGCTCGTTTTTTGGCGTCGCTTTTTGGTTCTCGTGTTCGCTCCCGGCGGACATTTGAGCCACTGACCTTTCTGCGCCAGCGAAGCGTTGGCTTCGTATTTGTCCACCAGCACCTGGACCTGCTCCGGCTTCAGGGGGGGGTAGAGTATCTCGTTGAGACGGGGGTCTCGCTGTTTGTTGTTGATGAACTCCGTCATCTGCTCCACGCTGAGGAACGGACGGGTCTTGGCCCCCCTGGGGACAGCGGGGAGGACACGGTGAACAAAAAGGAGAGCGAGGAGAGAGTTCAGTTAAAGGGAGATGATGATAGAAGGAGGGGGGAGGGGGTGAGGAGCTGTAATTAAAGCAGCGCCAAAGGAGGATTAAATCATATCTAAGCGTGGCACGAGTCCCCCGGGGGCCTTTGGGGTAGCATAGCGCGAGGGGCCACACCTCCAGGGCCAACCGGGGGCCTCTACTCCGTCACACAGGAACCTTCAAGAGCTAAATGCAGCAGAAGGAAACACGGTTCTTACACGTCGGAGAAGATGTGGTCCAGCTCGGTCCGCGGACAGATGTTAGCCAGGAACATGTTGTAGACCTCCGGAGTGAAGTCCTCCGGGGGGATGGAGTCGTTCTGCAGCAGACAACAGCGACATGGTCACACACACACACACACGTGCACGTTCTACGCGTTACACACAAACACGCTGCACTTACAAACCACGATAGCGTTTGTAAATTCAGGATCGATCCACTAGCACTGCTGCGATTCTGCCTTCAGGGTGGAGTTCTGCAGAGGTCGAGGCCCGCCGATGACCTCAACGAGCTCCCTTGTCAATGAGCGTTTCCCCTGTTTGTGTGTGTGTGTGTGTGTGTGTGTGTTTGAGAGATTAACAACACTACCGTTTAGCTGTAATTAACTCGCACGTTACACCACCACAGCGTCATATGGCAACTCGCCTTAGCTCCCGCTAATTACTGTATGTATAGCTGTGTGTGTGTGAGCCATTCATGCTGCCTCTGACTGTACATGTGTGTGTGTGTGTGTGTGTGTGTGTGGGAGGGGGGGGCAGCTGCTCCCTCGTGATATCTGTGAGAAGTAAAGATAAGGCAGCTTTGGTCATTTCTAACGCTCCCACTGGGTTTGTCTGTTCCATTACGGCCGGAGCTTAATCAGTTCCGCGCACGGCCAGGAGCAAAAAAAGGGCTCGAGGCGGCGAGCGTTCCGAGTTAAGATGGAGCTGAAGTGTCCCGACGGAGGGATGGAGAGGACGGAGGAGCTCGGGGACAGAGGGACAGGAGAGAGGGGGGGTTCAGTGTCTTTGGGTTCTTACTCTGACAGAAGGAAGGTTGCAGTTTTCCAGAGCTGTCTCCACTCGCTTCCTGTCTGCGGAGAACATCCTGAAGATGCTGCGGGGACACAAAGACTTCTGGTGAATTCATGGCAACAGACGTGAAAGACAGATGCGAAAAACACTGAAACCAATTAGGAGACAAAACCTCTGCACCGCTTCGAAATGACATGACGATGAAGAATGAAACTAATATATGCAGCAAGAAAGGAACGTGGGGAAATACAAAACCAATTCAGCTCCGCAATGAGTGCTTTATTCATGAATGTTCATGTTTTGTTCACCGTTGTCTCTGTAGTTCCTGGCTTGTATTTTCTTATCATCATCATCATCATTATTACCATCATCATCACAATGGCCATTATCATCGTCGTTGGCGCATTCCTTCGTCCTCACGACGCGTGGAAGTAAACGTCACACTCCCACACGTGAGACGCGTCCATTGATTTGTGATTTGCAGCCCTGTGAAAAACGTGCACCGCGTCAAAAGCGTCGCTCGCTGTGTCTTTCATTTTTTCCTTTTCAGCTTTGGAGACGCACGGTTTTCTCTGCACATCATCCGTCATTCTGTGGTTGGAGGGGGAGTGGCTGCAGAACTGTTCTATTAGTCCACCAAGACAGATCGGTGCCTGTTTCCTGTTTTAATCGCACGCGGCGGGATTCCTGTGCGGAGCCTCGTCCCGAGCGCCGAGTGGGAGCAACAGTCGAGTCGAGCTGACACGAGTCGAGCTGACATGTCTCTCTCATTTAGCATGTTAATTCCCTCAGCCCCAAAGGAGCGCGTCCCCCGCCTCTCCGTGCCGACCCTCTGAGCGAGCTTATCGCCGGAGTTCACTGCTGCCCGCCTGAGAAGCTCAACTCGACTAATGGAGACGGGGAGAGAGGCGGCTTGTAAAGCCACAAACTCCCAGATGGGTGAAAGTCACGGAGGGAGAATTGTCACGTTGGAGCTGGAGACAGATGTGAGTGGGGTTTTCCAAGGACACACACACACACACACACACATGTGCACATGCACACACATGTGCACATGCACAGACCAATACGCGTGGGCCCTTTAAATGTAGAAGAAAAGAGCAACAGACGAAGAAAAACGCAGCAGATTTCTCCTGCAGAGCTGAGGAGCGACGGAATGCAGGGCGTAACGTATTCTAGTAAAAAGCACACATGTGCACGGAGCACGTGTGTCTACTGAAGCGTGTGCACGATCACGGTGCCGAGTGAAGGCGCGGGCAGTGCCGCACTGTTCAAAAGAGCGGAGGGAGCAGGATGAGTCAGAGGTACTTACTTCTTGACGGGGATTCGCCCCTCAGGGTTGAGCTGCAGCTTCAGACGGGTGTATCTGCGTCGGGGCACAAACACACAACTCAACAATTTGTCTGCGTAGAATAGTGCACTTATGCATCACATTTGCTTTCTGTGTGTGTGTGTGTGTGTGTTTGCACGTGTGACTGACACGCTGTGGTTGCATGATACGTTCGATCAGATAATCCCTGGAAGTCGGCAGCTATAAATAGCTCGGCTGCAACAGGAGCCGTCCTCACGGGCTTTAAGTGGCTCCTGGCTGATGATTAACGCCAATTACAACGTCCACTTCGTAGAGCCGGCCGGCCGCCAGGGGCAAAGTCACAGATGACCGTAGTGGTTAACGGGGGCGAAACCGGCTCCAGAGAAAAGGCCGGTTGACGCTAGCGGATGCCGCTAAAGCTACATTGATGACATCTGAGGTACGGAATGAACGATGGGTTTCCTGAGGCCCTCGTCTACCTCACAGCTTCCTGCGTTATTCATTAGGGAAGCAGATCACTTGCATCTCACCACTTTCTCTCTCCCATCCCTTCCCGAGGGCGAGGTCGCCTTTGATTCACGTGAAAACATGAAAACACGGCGCTGTGGCGAGGTCACAGGTCATCCCACCGTCAAGCGTACGGCTCGTACACGTCGGGCGACATCAACCAGATGACGGTGGCGTGAAAATTTATTGTCTGCCGCGAGCAACCAGTGCGACTGGGAAACCTGCTCTGCTCCATCGCTCTGTGTGCTTTGTGGTCGACGGTAACTTTTATTGTCTCATAAGTCAATCAGCCTCCTCGGGGGTGCGAGTTAATAGCTTCTGTTTGCCGATAAACATCGAGGCGGCCGGGAGTCGTCGACGAGCGCCCCGGCGCGCCGTCTCCACGCAGCGCCGCGGATTCATTTTTTTAAGGGTTCGATCGATGACCTCGTGTGATGAGGGGCTCGGGGGAGATTTGTGAAGGAGTCTCTTTGACAGTTTCAGGTCAGCGACTCGACGTCGGGTTCACAAACTTACGTGCTACATATTCCCAGCTGCTTCATCCTCCCTCGTCCTTCCTGTCTGTTTCTCTATGGATGTGAGGTGAAATTACCTCTGTAAACCCAAACCCACAGGCTGCCTGGCGGGAGCTGTGAAAAGCAACCTCCTGTGTGTGTGTGTGTGTGTGTGTTCGTGTCAGCCCACCGTGGCGTGCGCCTGAACGTGTCTGTGTTTGTGTTACTGAATGCTCAGCGTGTCAAAATGTGTTTGTTTTTTCTTGCATTTGTAAGTCAAAGTATTGCACAGTTTGTCTCTTTTCAACGTGACGCCTCATTAGCTGTTCCTGCTCATGTAACATGCGACGCGACGCTACGTCACAGTCGGCGGTTCTTCATGGGGATTCGCACGGCTGGTGTGCGTGTGCGCGTGCAGCTGACGTACGCCTTCTCCAGGCAGTCCTCTCTGGACATGTTCTGCACCAGCAGGTTGGACGCCAGGTTGAACAGCTCCTCCGCCCATTCCTGCAGTAAGAAAAACACACACACACACACGCACGCAGCTAATTGCAAAGCGGAGTGCTGAGAGGTTGGAATGTGGTGGTCTGCTGTCCCTGTTGGGAATAAATGAACTCGTTAGTCCGCTCATGTGGATCGGCTGATAAAGTCCATTTGGATTCGGAAACACGCAGTTGCTCTGCTCGTTTGCTTTGATGTGAAATCAAGCCTAAAGTTCGACGCCATCGCTAACGCCCCCCCGGGTCAATTCATCGTACTTTGAAGTCAGAATGCGTATCAGGGTGGCAGGTCTGCTTATTGATAGAACGGTGGAGCACTTTACCTTCTGCCTCGTCGGTCCCCTCAACTCAAAATCTACCTCCTCAAAAACGCTAGGCGTTAGCTAATCGTTTCCCACCGGAGCGTTAGCTAGCTGGCCAACGTCGCGTTCTCTCCTGCTGTGTTAAACGACTCAACTCATCAAGCAGGAAGCTAACGTTAGCTAAGTCTATGTCAACAAAGCTCCTGGGTAACTTAGATGTACCAGAAAATATTAAAACCATCACTCACCCTGTTCGCAATTCTCATCCCTTCTGCCCCCCCCCCAAAAAACCCTACTCAAATCTACACGATTCACGTAGGTCACCTATTTTGGTTTCAAAACGGCGAATTTCGCCGAAAGGTGAGGGATTTTCACGCCTGCAAAGGGAACACCCGCTGCCTTGTTTTCTCGTCGTTTACCTTCGCCGTCTCCTCCTGGAAGGCCATGAAGTTCAGGTAGGTGATGTTGACCATGTCGGGGCCGCTGACCACCATCAGCATCCTGTTCTCCATCTTCCCCGCCAGCGTGCTGACGTCCAGCAGCTCGCGCAGCTTGGCCTCCTGAACGACGACACACGGGCGACAACAAAACGGATCATCAAGTCGCCGAGTGAACGTGACAAGCAGACCGAGGAAGGAGGCGAGACGCGGCTCAGTGTCTCTGCTGCACGGGAAGAATTACCCCACCGAATGAACCCGGGCCGGACCGGGGAGTTGGCAGAGGGTCCGCCGGGCTGATTTAGAGAGGCGAGCTGAGCCGCTGCAGCTTCCACATCGCAGTCCGTGAAGGCTGCAAACAAGGCGGCCTCAGCGCCTTTATGACAGGAGGCACTGCGAGTGGAAACCCCTTAGAGGTCGGAGGTTTGTTGTGGTATTAAAGGAACGACACTATCTTTCTGCCACACTTTTAACTCTTTCCGAAGCACCGAAGACCACCGAGTACCTGCAGGGGATTTATAGGGGCTATTTACTATAAGTGACCCCACAGCGACTCTCCAAATCCTGGGAGCTTAATGCTTTTCAAACAGAACTTTCCTGCTTGTTCTCAGCTCATCCTCCAAATATGATTCAGTTGACAGTTTAAGTGTGTAAAGTGGCACTCGGGAGAGCAGCCAATGCGCAGCGATGCCCCGTGACGACTTCTAATCAGTGGATTCACTTAACTTGGGGGATCCCACGAGGGTGCTGTTTGCCCGAGGAGGTTTTTAATTAAATACAATGACAAATGCTGCTAATTCTTTGAGTGAAATAATCTTCACCGTGAGCGATCAGTATTCATAGTTAATAGTCACTTTTGTTACCAGGTACCTGTCGTCAACAAGCGAATCCAGCCGGTTAAATAAGCTTTGTGTTTTCCGTGTAACGCAACAGACCGTGACAGAGAAAAATCGTGTGAAATAATGAGTATTCACAAAGGTAACCGTCTAAGGAAAACCAAACCAAACTGGTTCGAGCAAATACACGTTTGAGCAGCTCATGTTTGGCGCAAATCGAAGAGGGAAAAACAACAAGCGGCCTCGGGAGGCGCGGGAGAGGAATTACAATGATCCGCTTCTCTCCTCCGAGCAGCATACAAAACGCTTTCTAATTAACACGACAAAAAAACCCCTGTGAAGGATTCTGCAGTGAAAGCAAATGAGCTGCCGCTAATTCAACCAATCACACAAAGAGCATTGTGTCCTGTGTCACGCTGATAAATGTCCTCTGCACGTCCCTCACGCCCTCCAATCAAATTGCGCGGTTTAGCGGCGCCCGTTATTACCCCGCTGAACTCTGAAGAATCCCCCCTCTCTTCTCCCCCGTCTCTCACAACACGCCGGCGCTGCAGAGGAGGGCGAGTGTGCAGACTGCACGTCGCACAGAGGACGAGCTCCCGGCGCTCAGAGATGTGATTTCACGTGTGGTTGGAGCTGCTCCGGGCCGACCTCCCCCACCGATCTATCCGTCCCACAGTGCTCACGTCGAGCTGGGGGGGGGGGGGCACCGCCACTTTCAATTTGCTAAAACACACAACGCACAAAGAAACCTGATGATGAAACGAGGAGCAAAGCAACGGAAAGAGGAAAGCGGAAGTTGGGCTGGGCCTGTGTGGGGGGGGGGTTGAAATGTCATTTGTGCGCGAGGACCCGGAAACGCTGGCAAGCAACCTCGGAACCTCGGGCGGGATTTGGGGCGTTGAAGCAAGACGGCGCTTCTTTGAATGCGCGCGTGTGTGCGTTCACGCGGTCACTCTGCAGCATTCTGCAGGCCCGTTGAAATACACAGGGCTCCTCTTCCCGCCACCAGGCCCGACCCGTCACGGGCCAGTGCGCCCCCCAACCGGGCGCCACCGGGGGGGGGAAAGGAACCAGGCCAACGCACACTGGCTTAAACTCAAGAGAGGAACACGTCAAGACGCGCTCACACACACACACTGACACACACACACACACACACATCAGAGGGTATGTCAATATGAATGATTGATGGCGGCCCGACCGGCCGCACACACCGCGGCGCTCAGCGATTCGACGCGCCGCCCCCACCACGGGATGCGCGGGCGCGAAAGGCCGAACCGACAGACAGAGGAAGACGAGATGTTAATTTTCCATTTGCTACAAAACGTTTGTGAATAAAATAAAAATGGATTAGGTGTCAAGGCGCCTCTTCAGGGAAGGTCTTGCTGGTGTTAAAATCAATGTCACCCCCCCCCTCTCGCTTAATGTGCTCCCCAAAGAGGTGGAGATCACAGGTGGTGTAAAAAGGCCTCTAGCTTGGCATCTCCAGCCGACCCGTTGCTGCATCTCGCGTTATATCCTTCAAAACATCTGCACAAGTGAGGCGGCGGTTCGGGACACGTTGTGTTAAATAATGTGTGATTCGTGTGTAAGGGTGGGGTGGGGGGTGGGGTTGGGGGGGGGGGCGTGCTCATTCTGCCACACAAATACTGACCAGTCTTTTTCTCGTTTTCTACGCGGCGGTGCGTGTGGAAAATGTTCCATGAGAGGAGAGACCTCCTCCATCGTATGTGATGTAGACATCACGTGTGACGTCCCCCTGAGCTGCACACACGTGACACTGTGCGAGCGCACTTGCCGTGCAAACGATGGTTGACGTGCTTTGAAAAAGGGACGGATCAGCCCAGAGTTGACAGACAACAACAACAATGTCGACCTTCCAGGTTGCCGTGCAGCGACGGCGACGGGCCTGGACGAGCCGCCCGTAAAAGATGTCTGCCGTCCTCGCGGCGTAATGAGAAATCCTGGCCGCTCAATACGATCCCTTAAGGACCCTTAAGTGAGCGGTGTCACGTATCTACGGTGGAAAGAAAAACATGCGCTCCCCTTTCAGGCCACACAAAGCACCTCACAGATACTTTTAAACTCCAGAACGTTCATTGAGCAGATAAAAAAAGGATTCGGCCGTGCAGACAAACACGCACAGCGAGGAACGTTCCCGCGGCAGGCCGACGGCCGAAAGGCCGACGCGGCGCAGTCGGCCTTTAAAGCCTTTTGCTGCTTATCAAACGGCTCCGTTGGATTCGGCCTCAGCAGCAGCAGCCTTTCGTTGAAGGACGGCAGGGCCGCCTGCTCCCGTCACACCTCGCGTTCAGAACCTCGCCTTGAAACGGAAAAGGCTCGGGGTGAAGCGCACGCACAGCGGCGCAGCGACTGAGGACCTCTCGGCAACAGCGGCATTGTAAACAAGATCAGAGGAGGCGGAGGGCGGACAGAAGGAGATGGGAGGTGCGCGGGAGGAGGGAGGTCTTTGATTCCTCGTCCTCGCTCTCATCCGCGGAGCTCTTTTGTCTCCGCTCCGTTTTCATTATTCTCCCTCGTGGTCATAATTCATCGCATGCACTCGAGTGGCCGGTCGATGGCGACCGCCACCGCTCCACGAGGAAGCAGGGGTGGCCCTCGAGGCCGGGGGGGGGGGCGAAAAGGTCAGCGCTTCATCGGCCAGCCGCCAGGTTACGCGTCACCGCCCGCGGAGCCACGTGTGCCCACATTTGGAGTCGTGCCTTAAAATGATACATCTTTTCCTTTAAGCCATCTGGCTCACTTGGCTGTTGGTGCATATTTATTAGCAATTCTCCATCAATGAGGCCTCAACACACATGATATTATTCATTTAAACTGTTAACCCTCCCCCTTCTAGTTCGAGTTCTAATATCTAAGGAGGGAAATCACAACGTGATGGAGGGGAAAAGCGTCGGAGCACCGAGCGCCTCCGTGCCAGCACGTCCACGGCGCCGCCGTCTGCGATGGGGGCACTTCATTAACCCCCAGACGCAGTGACACGCGAAGCCGTAGACGGAGAGGTGTGGCGGAGGGCCCACAGAGGTCGGACATCACGCCATTTCCAGAATGCCAGCACGGGGACAATAACTCGGGTTGACAGGCGGCCATTTTCCCGTCCGAGCGTTCACACCCAAACGCCGATCTGCCCGCGATGCTGAACTGAGCATAAGGGAAAATGTGCTACCATATGTTAGTTATACAAACACTGAATATCAGACCGGGGGCCCGCGGGAAATCGTATCAGAGGTCGGAGTTTATTTTACTTCTGTCGGTCTTTCATTTCTACTTCTCCCGATTCCTCCCGGCGCACTGAACCGACGCCGGCTGGGTTTCCCGCCTGGAGCGGTGGCCAATCTGTGTGCATGTTTTGCATAAACGCAACGCAAACGCGCTTGCGACAGTAGAACAACTGTAGAACAACTGTAGATGAAGCAGTTTGTTTGATCGTGAATATGAGAACAGGGAGGTCACCGGGGGAAAGGTCAAAGCTCGTTCAAGTGGAATCAAACAGCTGTTGGCAGCTGTGCCGCCCGCAGGGCCGGGACGGGGAGACTCCTCTTGGCGTCCTATTCGGACTTTGTCGCTGAGGAGCAGCAGCACATTCGTCTGGGAGCAAAAGGAACGGCGGACAGCATTCGCCTGCACCGCTCGGCCCCGTCCTGATCTAACGCCCACCCGCTCATCCCTTCTGCCCTTCGCTCAATAGCTCACCGCCTGAGCTTAGATGAGTGAGTGTGTGTATCTGCTTTTTGAACCTCTGACGAGAAAATGCCTCATCAATTAAAACCACACAGTTGCACTCGATAAATGCTGCAACACAAATGCATTTGCTTCTTTGTTACATACAACCGGTGACGCTAAACTTTGTTTTACATTCAACGTGACTGCAATCTTTGCCCCAAAAAAAGATGACAAAATAATCTCTGCTGACTGCACACGGTGACCGGAGGGGCCTCCGAGGATAGAAATGCTGGGAAAAAAACTGGGAGGGAATTGGACAATCTTGCAGAGAAATCAGTTTGGCAGCAAAAAAAAAGGCCTTTGGAGTTCAGTTGTGATGATGCGGCTCAGAGACTACAGCTGAGATGATTCTTAGAGGCCAGAGGAAGTGCGTCTTATCTCATGAATACAGATGCAAATAGACAATACAGTACAGGCACCGCACAGAAGATGTTGCAGTAGGGAGGTGGGTGAATATAATTCATTTTATTAAAAAAAAGAAAAGCAATATATTTGTAGCAAAGTAAAAAAAAAATCTCTCTGAACGAGAGAACCAGATAC